AAATTTGTAAGAAAAAAAAAAAATCTGTGTACACTGGAAACAGCTAGCTGGATATTGTTCAGTACTAAAAGTCATCAATGTTTTTTACAGTGAAGCTGGCCATGTGGGAGTCTACCCTTGACACATTTGTAGAGTCTATCCAATCAATTCCAGAGGCAAGTCATAGAATCACTTTTAGAAGAAATGTGTAATATGTGTATGTATGATATATAATATATACATGCTATATAGCAGGGGTAGGCAAACTCCGGCCCTCCAGCTGCGGTGCAACTACAAACCCCATTAGTCTTTGCAAGACCCTGACAGCCACAGAAATGAATCCCAGAGGCAGATGCAGGATGGGATTTGTAGCGTCACCACAGCTGGAGGGCCAGAGTTTGCCAACCCCTGCTACAGTGCTTTACAGCTTTCAAACAGCTGAAAGGATGGTTACAAAATTTGCATCTGTAAATAACATCAGAGGGAGGTCCAGCTCCTGCATTGGTCCCCGATTTATGGCAGGAGAGGGTCTCCTAGGCATGCTGCTGCGTATTTGGTAAAGCTGTGGGACGTTGCAGCACCCCAGTGATCGAAAGATGGCACAGGCAACTTTTGATGCGTGCATAGCAGATCCACCAAGGCAAGCCACTGAGGAACAAAGCCATGACGTTCACCATTCATGTTATCTAAGGCTGAAGGGCAGACTGCACTGAAAGTCCAGATCACAATCTTCATTAGGTTCATATGAATGGGCCGTCGTGACTATTTGGAGAGAAAACATTCCACAAATAGTAAAGAAATTGGGATGAATGTCAGGTAAAGGAAAGCCTGTTTACTGGCCATTTGGAGATTTTGTTCTAGGAAATAGCTGAACTAGTTGAAAAGTTTAGTCATTAAAAAGAACTGTTCAGGTAAAATCTACAGCTCATTACTTTCTACAGAATAAGAGTTCTTTAAAGTCTAAACCACGTTCAATTGTGCAGAGAGGAACTAGTTGTTAAAGGAGATGCTGCCATAGATACCAACAGAACTGAACAGGTATCTGTAGCACCTTGTTTGCCTCCTCTGTAGGACTGGTCTGAGATAAGGGCACGTATCACTCACAGTGGAAGTCAAAGGTGCACCTCAGTCCGTCAGTCCTTGAGATGCATACAGGGAGCACAACATGGCTGCTCAATAGACAATTGTTTTATCCAGTCACTGCTGCCCACCCCACTTCCTTCTATCTGTAATCTGGTGGTCCTGGAACACACCAAGTGGCTCTCGCACAGACAAAAAAAAATGCATTAAAACAAAGCAAGCCCAAGATGTTTACCATAACCCCCAGATTCAAACTGGCCTCAGAGTTTTGAATGTGACAGATGATGTAAGAAGCAAAGAGGAAGTTGCATAGCACATGCTCCAGGAAATACACCCCTACTGTCCTTTCTGTTGGTCCTGTTAGACTGACCAGGGGTAGCCAAACTGCGGATCTCCAGCTGTGATTAAACTACAAGTCCCATTAGGCATTGCAAGTCTCTGACAACGACAGGCATGGCCTACTGAGGAAGATGCATGATAATATTTGTAGTTTCCCCGCAGCTGGAGGGCCCCAGTTTGGCTACCCCTGTGTTAGATGGTCTGTGGGGTGATACAGGTTTGCTGAGGAAAACTTTGACTATCACAATTAGTGCTGACGGGATATCATTTACAGCTCACTTTTACTCCACCATTGATACTTTTAAGGCACAAACCAAGAACTAGGATGCAGATGAGGAAGTTCAGAGTAAAGTCAAAGTACAGATACCATTAAATCAGCATGCCAGCCAGGGAGCTGGGGTTTTCGGAAGGCAAGGTCTGCAATGGCAGCCTCCATACATCCTCAGTACAAGTTTCATTTGAGATGATGATGATGAAGGATTTAAAAATCACTTAACAACCCAACCTCCCACCATGAGTGCAAACTGTTCAACTATTTCCTGGGAACTGATTTACAGCCTCTTTACATCGGCCTGCACTGCTGCAATGTGTTAATGTTCATTTGAATGGGATGCCAACATACTACAAAATAAAGCCCAGTTGAATATTAGTTAAAACTCACAAAATGCATGAAAGAAAAAATGTGTGCAAAGTCTTACAGTTCATTCGGGTTGCTGCAGAGAAGGACCCTTGCTCTCTGTAGGGGGAGCAGTGATCTCTTTGCAGAGGTCTGACACACCCCCTGCTGACTCCAAGCCAGACCTCTCCAATCAGCAAGGATTGTGAGCATCGCTGTTTGTAGAGCTATAGGTCTGACTCAGTAGTGGGGCGTGCTGCTTTAGGCCCCTTTCAGACAAGCAGCATGATCAGATCCAACTGTCAGCTTTTCAGGCAATTCTGATGTTAGTGTATGAGCAGCTAGATCTAAACATCTGATTACCTCCCAACTCTTCCAGGTCCAGAAAACAAAACGCAGCAGAGTTCTGTTTTGGAGCACCTGTTTATGACGGATTAGGGGTAATCTGATGTAAACTGACACAGGTCCACTTACATCCAATTCCCCGTAGACCTAATATGGGTCCAGTAAAGTTCAGTTCATTAAAGTGGTGACATCTGCCCCATACTGCTCTGATCAGGACTCACAGGCACCTGTGTGAAAGGGGCCTTAAAAAGAAGGCAAAACTAAGACAATAAAACACCATTTGTTTTCATGTACCCGGAATGCATTTCTGATTTAAACTGAAGGATCAAATGGGCTCTAAGGTCTCCTGCATCTCAAAGCAATCACCTGGCCACATGGCGGCTTCCATTAATGATCTTTCCAGCTCAGGTTCAGAACATGGTAAATAACACCGCAGTGGACAGAACACCCAGTCCCATGATCAGACTCAGACCATAACAGAGTACACATGTGATATTGAAAAACCTGGTAGATTAGGCATTAACTTACAGACCATGTACAAATTCTGTTGAAGAGGCTCATCTATATACATTACCAGTAAAATGAATATCTGGATTGATCGATCACACTGGATACGTGTATCAAAATCTGGAGTTACATTTTAAATAGAAAAATTAGAACATTAGACTTTGAAAAGGCAGAAAATCCTCAGAAGTGCAGTTGAGCCAGTTCTCAACATTTATACATGTGGCACACTAAGAGGTGCTGTTACAACTCGTGTCCGGTCCATTGCGAGCTGCACAGTAGGGTGACCAGCCGTTGTGTTCTGTACACATTTAACACATTCAACATGGTCCAGCAAGATTCTCTTTCTTTCTTTTACGACATTTCATCGCAATCCTTGCTACAGCTCGGCATTTCCTCATCTATAATAACTGGGGGAACCTCTGTTTTCAGACGCTTGGATTCTGGAGGTCTGCAGAACAGGTCCTGAACTGGTGAATTGTCTGAAGAACAGAGAGGTTTGTTAGACACAAAAAGTATATTTGTTGTTTGACTTGATGCACTTTCATGATATTTCTAGCAGAACTGCAGTAAAAAAAATAAATTATAGCTCATTAACCACTTCCCGTGCATGGCCGTTCCTGAACGGCCGGACGGGAGCCTTATAGGAGTGGGAGGGCGTCTTAAGACGTGTAAAAGTTAGAAAAAGTCCAGGGAATAAGCGCTCTCCGAAGTGCTGGAAGGGGTTTAATTAGAGGGCACACCAGGTTGCTAGCGCTTCTCTACCCCCTCACCTTCTGGTCATCACGTGCGTCTTAAGACGTCCTGCCCTCCCCACACACGAGTGGGAAAAGGTCAAGGGGTCAAGGGGTGTCATTGAATTCAATGCACCGCCACGCCCCAGAACGCAGAGGGACGTTTTGTGAGGGATTGCAGTGTGTTCCAGCAGCTACCGCTCTGGAACACACCGCATTCGGTGTGAACAACCCTCCTTACCATCCTGTCTTGATTTGTATTGTGATTGTAATGTCTTCCCTATATCGTAAAGCGCTGTGCAAACTGTTGGCGCTATATAAATCCTGTATAATAATAAACAAGCCCATAGGTTCCCTGCAGAAGCGTGACCCCCAATAGTGATAGTGTCTCTTCAAAGTAATAACATTCTACCTTGCATTGTGAAAAGTCTGATCAAGAGGGGACTGGATAATTTTACTCTCAAGAAAAACAAACAAGGGATTCCCAAGGCACCCATACAATAGAAAGGGATAATATAAAACACAAACATAGACACAGACAGCTAATGCATTTTTCCAGAGGGCTGGAAAAAGGTGATTTTGCGGGGTCAATGACTTGCATATGTGGGATTCAGAAAGGTTTTGTCACTTACCGGTGCTACTGCACTCCATTCTACTGGGTCCTGGGGACACTGGAACGATCAGCTGTGTATTAGGTGAATTTGTCTTCACAGGGATTAGGGCGATTCTCCTGTATAGTGGCAGATAGAAACAGAAAGGTCAAAAGGCATAATTCACTGCAAACTATAAACCAGATGAGGTTATACTCCTATTTGTCCATATAACCCTATACAAAAGAAAAATCATGTATGTAAAGTGCAAGTCTGATTTTGCTGACAAAAAGGGCAATATACAACAAAACTAGACTCTTACCTGGTCTCTTTATACTTAGACAGGCCATGCCAGCATGCTTACTGGAAAAAAAAAGCTGGGGGGGGTCTTATTATAAATCACATGACCAGTCCTACTACACCCTAATTTAGGGGCGGGCAATTAACTTTCTCGAGGGGCCACATGAAAAACTGGGGCGGCTGTGAAGGGCCAAACTGATTAACGCACGGTACTGCGCAACATAACGAGTAAGCATTGCAGTGCAGCACGATTCATTTCAATGGCACCCCAAATGCACCTCCTGGTCACAAAGCAATTGACTGATACCATGCATTGCTGTGCGGTTGAACAAAGTAGTGCATTGCATGGTACTGTGAGTTAGTGGCTGCTGGGCAGGACCTTCAAACACTAAGTGGCAGCCACACACACATGACAAGCCACCCCCCCTCCCCCCCCAAAACATGTTTATTATTTTATTTCTTAACAGGCCACGAGGATGACATAATGGTCACACTTGTCACTGGTTGTTAGGAACGCCCAGTGGTCCTAGCAACCAAGGACTGGATGGAAACAGTGCCTGACAAAATGGCCTTCATGGGAGGATCACCAATTTCTTTTAATAATCTCCAAATGAATAATACTCTAAAATTACATGGGATTTTGTGAATGGATTTAAATCTACTTTAATGTTCTACTAGATATGCAGCAAGCTTGAACCTAAGCACATTGCTGTGGATGCCTGATATTTAAACTCAGGCTCGGTGCAGAGATACAGGAAAAACAGCAAACCAATGACATTAGAACGGGGTGGACCAATTAGTATGGTGTTCAAGAGCCCGCAGGATTTTTTTTCTTCAGGAGCCAGCTAAATAGAAAATAATTGGGCAACAGCTGTAATTTTTAAGCATTGGCTACCTGGTTCCCGAAATTTATCCAGCCCTGTATTAGAATGAAGAAAATTCTGGAGCGATCCACAAAAGTACTGTTACCATGAGCGCAGGGAAGAGAAATTGTTTTTGCGTCGGCTTTAGAAAATCAAAACTAGCTGCAGATTAACCCCTTCGTGACAGGAGACGTACACTATGTCCCGCCACAAAGTGCCTATATGACTGGCCACGTACACTGCACGTGATGAGTTTAAGGCTCTGTAATGCCGGTAACCGCTGAGACTCAGCGGTTACCAGTCAATAATGAATGCCTCAGTATTGAGACATTCATTAATGAAAGAATTAAGCCGTTACATGCAAATACGGGAGCGCTAAATAACGATCTGATATTTGACAGCTGAAGAGAGCAGGGTGAGTCACCTCTCTGCTATTCCTTTTGACAGCTCAATAGCCTGATGTTTATGATACATTTCAAGCACAGGGATATTACAATGTATCTCTGTGCCTGAAATGTATCACTTCTGAGGGTCTAGGCACAATCAAAGACCTTTAGGCTGGGTTCACACCTAGGCGTATTACGCATGCACGTCTGTCGCGCGACCGTCAAGCGGTTTTTTTTACCGCGATTCGCGTTAAAAACCGCGCGACCGTCGCGCGATTCCGAAGGCTACTTGGCTGTATCCCAATGGAAAACGCCCTCCAAAACGGCCCAAAGAAGTACATGTACTTGTTTGGGCGTCAGCCGTTTTGTCGGGCGTTCAGACGGGCGGAAATACGGAAAGGTGTGAACCATACCCATAGAAAACAATGGGATTTTCATGGTTGTACGTTTTGTAGAGCGTTCATAGAGCGTTGAACGCCCGACAAAACGGAAAGGTGTGAACGGGGCCTTAGTGAGATCTGAATCGGACATGCTGTCAGGATCAGTCACTAAGGTTATCATTAGCTGTTCCTAAGTTTGGAGCAGCCTGATAGCCAAAAATTAAAGTTAATTTATCAAGCAGTCATAGTGACTGCTTGATAAACTGACAAAAAAAAAAAAGTCTTTTTTTTTACAAAAAGTAAAAAAATTAAAATAAAGCGTAAAACAAAATTACATATAAATATATATTTTTATACTATAATTATAAAACATTTCTAAAAAAAAATAATCAAAACTTGTGAAAAAAGTGTTTTGTTCCAGTTTTTTTTATATTTTATTCAAACTAAGTGAGGCGTTAGGGCTATATATTTATATCAACATGTGTACCTATCTGTCCTATAAAAAACAATCTATAATATGTGTGTGTACATTTAGTAAGAAAGTATATTACTGCTGTGGATGAATCACAGAGCAAAAATGTAAAAAGTGTGTGTCAGTCATTTACAAACAGAAACTGAAAACTAGCCATCATGAAGGGGTTACAATTGAAAAGTAATTTTTAAATGATCATGAACTACAAACTGGCTTGCTTGGAAAGTAGAAACAAAAAGAAAAATCCAGTAACAGGCCTCCTCCCTCTTTACAAAGTCGATGTCCCTCTATATAAATAGAGTTGACATTTCGGTCACATGTGTTTATAACCACACTGGAGAGATTTCTCCTTGGACAGAATGGCACAGACCACAGTAAATTCTAACCTTTCCCTTTAATAGTGGGCAATAGTGGGTGCAGTAATTTTTGTTTGCTTCAAAGATGGTGAAGGAGATCAGGCACAGGGCTGCATGACAGAGGTGAAGATGTTCCCTCTGGCAGCTTCCAGAGAAGGAGCAGTACAGGCTACAGTATAGTACAGGAATCCCTAAATCTGCCGTTTACAAGTGGCAACCGTCACCCATTCAAGTTAATGATCGGGTGACAGCCGCTGCATTATGAACGCCAACACACTGCGTGTAATCGTATGCGATCATCATACAGTCCACTCTATGCAACTTCTACATATTCATAAGAATGACCTCACAATGTTTTTCATTGAAAGGCATTTGTACCACTACTGATAATTTTGTTCTAACTTTGTAATTAGTGATTAGGTTCCACTGACCAACTAAAGCCCCACTAGACTAAAAGACAGCATGAACTAACCGTGGGCTGGGTGTGCTAGGCTTGATGGGCTTGCTCCAAGCTTCCAGAGTGTTAAGTGTAATCCTCCTTGGATGTCCAGCTTTGCTTTTTTGTCCACTGTTCTTGTCCGCAGAGGTAGGTGTAGCCGGGATACTGGTTATGCCCACCGGAGTTGACAGAATACTGCTTGTGGAGGCTGCTGTGGGCTTGCTGTGGACCGGGGTGCATGGACTGGACTGCTCAAACAGCCTTGCAGATGGGGTCAGCTCCCCTGCTCGGAGAATCGGAGAAGAGACCCTTCTACCGTGAGACCTCCTAATCTTTTTTTCCGCTGCGGAAGGAGTCTTTAGAATTAAAGCAGGTTTCTCTTTAAGTGGCACTCCAATCTCGCCTTCCTCAAAAGTGACAAATGAGCAGTACCCATCGGTGGAGGCGATAGCTAGGAAGGTCCCATCGCTGGACCTGAGAGGAATGAGAAAGGGAAAATTAGAAGATTGTTTTGGAGGCGATTGTTCGAGGACAGTAGTCAACTGGTGCAAGACAGAGGGGAATCCACCCCAGGAATTTTGAATCCTGACAGAAGTTTCTAAACTTTCCAACAAAAGATCCAAAAAACAAACATAAATTTGGTGGGAGATGCACTTAAACAGCTATCCCAGGAAACACATGAAGGCAATCAGTGACCTTTTAATGCTATTACGTGTGTACTGCAATGAAGGGGTACTGTTGAGACCCCGAAAGTGCTGGTACTGAATGGCAATTTGTCATTAAAGGACTTTTGCTTCAAATCCTTTTGGTGTGCTGGTGACAATCTTGACTATAGCTGGATTACAGTCTGACACCCTAGTGTCAGACTGATTTTCCTGTGGAGAAAACTGCATTTTTATGGTTCAGGCCTGAAAAGAAAGAAAAAAAAAAAAGCCTGCACTGCAAGTCATCACTGCACCTCTACATTAGCACAATAAATGCCAATCACTTACAAAAGGTGGAAATGGACTTTAAATAGACATGGTCTATTTGAACAAATACAGCTTTACTACATACCCAAAATGTTTTCAGTTCAGACTTTGCTGAATGAATCTTCACTACACTTCTAGCTCTGCAATTGAGCAAGTTTCAACTAATGTTAACCACATGTAAGCGTCTATGTTGACAGGCTTTTGTTTGGCTCAAGCCGGTTTTCTCATTGCCATATTAGTCTATGGAAACAAAGTCTGCTTAAAGCAGGTCAAGAGGTGTTCAACTGCGCCTGTCAATGAATTCGGAATGATCTTAAGCATCTCATACTTATGTTAAACGTGGCATTAAACCTTCATTTTCTTTTTATTAACAGGACCAGACTTAAGTGAAATGCTTTTTGTTTCCTCGTTCTCTAGTAGTCCCCAAACTGCTAGTCCCCCTCCCTGCATGCGGGTGTCTCTATCAGCAAGGCAGCTGCTGAGGAGACACCCATGCGTGCCCGTTAACACAGTTAGCTGTGTATGTCCATAAACACACACAAGCTTGCGGCAAGTCATGCCCCCCGCTCCCACTTTGACTGAGGCCAGAAGGTGCCTTCGGCTCGCCTGCCCTCAGTACCCTCCCCAGAACCAGGAAGTTCAGGGAAAGCCGTGCACCTTCCTAGTCCCGGCAGAGGAGACTACTACTAACGGCAGGAAAGTGTGGGGACACAGCTAGGGACTGGGGTGTTTACCTTAATGCAGAGAATTTAGTAACCCTTTAAACTGAGGCCATTGACACAGGTTCTCACTTTAATCCAAATGGAATTTCAAATGGATATTTTAAGATCATAATATTCCAAAGACTGGATGGGTTAAGGCTCTACAGTAAAAACAGTCAAACTCTGCCTCCCTTTATGCAAGGCATCATTTCCGACTGGTGTGTACTGTGAATGTTAAAGTTAATTCATCCATAACCATCTCAAACAAAATCCTTACTTTCTCACCAGCCAGGCGACATGCCAACGCATACCCTGAAACAGCACATATTTTGTTTTGAGTAATGGAGACTCACCAAGATAAGTCGCTCAGTGTGTGGTAATGCACATTGGAAACATAACCGAAGGGGTAGGTCTGCTGTGTGTCGTAGAAAAGCACAGCATCTTCAGAGGCCACTGCAAAGATCATCCGATAAGGCTGAGAGACCAGGCCAGGAGGAGGCGCTTCGCCATTCTCACCTGAGGGGAGAGAGAAATATGACCGCTTGTAACGGGAAGGTCTCATTTACACAAATACAACCTAAGTGGGACACCACTTGGATTCTGGAGGCAAGCTTTTTGGAAATTCACACTGGGCACAGTTTATCCTAGTAGTATAAGGATAGCTTTTTCCTAGACATGACAGCTAACCGTTTGACTTTTTTAACCTTTAATAGTACAAATAAAAACAGTGGTAATTAAAAAAAATCACCAAAAAGCTCTGTTTTGCACTATCATAGCATTAGAAACTGAAAAATAGCATGGAAATGAAGAAGTATATACAGGCTGGTACTCAAGTGGTTAAGGGAACAGCAACGGGTTGGCAATATCTAATTGTTATCTACAAATGGCAATTTGACCAATGTGGCAATAAACCTTTGCAATACATGCTTAGAGTGCTGGCGACTACCCCCTGCAGAAAAGTGTTACCGTGCCCAATTTAATAGTCACAAGCAATGCAACCCACTTCGGATTTCAATCAGATCGCAAGAGGGGCAGACTGTGGGATCACTGGCCCTCGTCCAGCCCGAGAATACCTTGTATTTATTGGAAAAAAAATACTAGCCATTCTTTAAATGGCTGCTGTGCTGAGCAAGCAACCTCCTGTGTTTTCAGAGCAGAGGGAAAGCCGTGTAGCACAGTACAGGACCCAGAAGATCGCAGCTAGCACTGTGGCTACTACTGTGCTTACCAGGATCACCATTAGCTGATCAGATGTGGCATATGCATGCTTACATTGGGCAAGCTGAATAGAAGCATGCAAAATAATGCAGATCTGCTTCAAAATTCCACTTCAAGAGGTTTTGCCAATTCCCACAGCAGTCAGGCAGATTGATTAGTTTTCCCAGTGTTTTATGGGGAAAAGGAAAGAAGGAATGGACAAGAACAGTTATTCTTTCAGACGCTTTAATATGCGAGGTGCAACATCCCCTTTGACTCTTGGCATGCGTTTAAATGCTTACAGCCTCCTAGCATACATAAAGTATGCAAGGATTTATTTTTTTTTTAATTGTTCCTGTTGGGGAAATTTCCCTTTAATTCCTGCTCGAGACAATGGGCAGTAATCGAATAGTGACAACTGTCCTCTTATCTCTGAGTCAGCAATTGAATTCAAGTCTCATCAATGAGGACACAAACAGCACTAATAAATCATATGACTGGAGTTCTTACCCGTCCCCACACTATGCAAAACTAAAATTTTAGGGCTGTGGAAATTAAAGATAAATTTCTCGATTCGTTAAACTTTTTGATCGATAAAAATTATTTTGATCGCTAATGAAAACACTCACACCGGCTTCCGGGAGTCCTGTCGGCGATCCGTTGACGTCACGGAAATAGACGTCACCGGACTCCTCCACCCTTCCCCAAGTGGCTCCGTCGGCTAACGAAGGGAAGGGGGGGAGGAGTCTGGTGACGTCAATGTCCGTGACGGCTAACAAAGGGAAGGGGAGGAGTCTGTGACGTCACCTGATCCTCCCCCCTTTGTTAGCCGACTGAGCCACCTGGGCCGGTGAGTTTGCCCAAGAAACTTTCTGCACGAGCGCCAGCCAAGGCATTGGCCTATACACATACAGCACAGCAATGAAGTAATAAAATGAACTAGGATCACACTAATCCAGCACGTTGCCCCACTCAAGCGGCGGCCATATTGAGTGGGGCACCGGAGATTAATAACGTGCTGGATTAGTGTGATCCTAGTTCATTTTATTACTTCATTGCTGTGCTGTATGTGTATAGGCCAATGTAGTTGGATCTGTATGTGCGTTATAATCGAAATTAAAAATCGATTAAAAATTTTTTTTTTATTAATTGAACATGAAAATTGTAATCATTACCAGCCCTATAAAATTTGTTATGTGTAGTTTTTTTGGGGGATGGTTTCCTTTAACGCACCTTTCACTTCCGGCCTCAGTTCATAGAACACAGGGCAGCATCGAACAGCAAGCGTCACTTTTTCTCGACAGGGCAGGTGAGCTATAGGTCTGGAATGAAAGCAAACAATTTTTACACAGAAAACAAAAAACACAATCAGTGCATCACAATATAAGCCAAAACATATCCATAAATGCAGGCGAATACTGCTCCAAAAACATAAAAATTCAAACACTACCCCACTTAAAAATGCGTTAGATTAAAATAAAAAAACTTTGTTAAAGTACACATCTTTTCTGGCCATTTACAACTTTATGGTCCTACAAAAAAATAAAATGTTGTACTCTCCATAAAAAAATTATCCTTGGGTTATACCAGGACTGGACAAATCCCCGGAGCAAGGTAGTCAACACACCTAACATGAGGTTTTCTCTAGTTGCAGTCAATGGAGCTGGCTCCTAAACAATCCCACTAGATATCCTGGATTGGACAGACTGGCTTCTGAATTCCATACTCATTTTTCCACCCCTGCCGTTATACTGCTACCTACAAGAGAACTGGACACTTCCAAAAACTGTAGGCCAGCCCAGGATAACCCTCCGTACTGTGTAGTGGCCCCACACCAAAGCACTGGAACTGCTGATGCAGTGTAAAGATGGGACATAGAGGGGAAAAAAAAAATCTCAAAATGTCTGCAAAGGCCAAAAAGTCTTCTTGGTAAAGGGGGCAATGACAGATATCTTAAGATTAAGATTTCTGAACTTGCATGAAGACATTTAGAGCCTTAAGATCCAAGATGGGGTGAAAGCCCCCTTTTGGATTTGGAGACTGAACCGGTTGGAGTAAAGCACTGAAACCACTCTGCTAAAAGAACTAGAGAAATGACACCTTGATTCAGAAGACCCAAGGGGACATAATGGAGATCGGCTAATCTGTGCGGTGAGAAAGCAAAGAGGGGGCAGGGAGCAGAACTCCAGTTTGCAGCCCTTGGATAGCCCCTCCTGCACCCAAGCATCTTAGAAACAAGCTGTTTAAGCACCCGCAAAATGTGAACTAATGGCCCCCCACTTGGCACCTTCGTGCAAAGGCTAATCTAAGGATTTGCTAGGCAGAGGATGCAGCCACAGCTAAGGACAACTCATGCAGGTGAGGGTCAGATAGCAGGAGGTGACCAAGTCACTGTAGGTGGGCAGCAGGAATGGATCAAAGTTTCATCTGGCTCTTTGCAAGCAGGAGAAGCAGGGAGAAAAGCTCGCAAACTCAAACACATCACCATCAGCGCTCAGTTGCACAGAGTTAACCCAATTTGTGGCAAAACGTGGGAATGGGGAATAAAGGTGCACAGCGTCCTATATTAAAGAGGTAGCTCCCATTGCTCTGCCTGACCAGCCTACTTCCCGAGCTAGTTTTTAGAGACAAGGCAAGGGCTAAGGGAACACCAGCAGCTCTGAACCTGGAGAGCACTGCGCAAATTTTACCAGAACAGTCCGGAAAGTGCCCTCCATGGAACCCAATCACCACTTTCAAGCTACCTGTAACATCCAGTCCAGCAGGGTCTGGTTGCATCACTCATATGCAGAGCAAAAAAACGGTTATTAAAAAAAAAAAGAAAAGTCAACTCAGCAGAGGTGATGAAGACTTCCATCCTCCTAGGACACTAGGAAAAACAAAACTGAGGCATGCTGGTAGTAGGACGGTTGGGAGGGTTCCTGAGCTGGCCTGCAGTTTTTTGCTTGCTATTGTCCAATTCTTCTAGAGGTGGCCATACAACTTAAAAGGTTAAAGACAGACACTGTACTGAATACACACCTCTTCAGATTATTCCTGGAAAAGACATATGTTGTGTTAACAAGGGAGTCCCCAACCTCAACGCAGCCAGCTACAAAAAAAGAGAGGAAGCCATGAGATGATATCTGGGAATACTTCTACATGTAACAGTTCTCTTTGTATAAGCACATCAATAATTTACTACATATGGGAACCAAACCTGGAGTGAGGAGGAGAGAGCCATCGGGTGTAAATGTCAGCCTTCTGAAAAAGGACTTCATGCTGTCATCATGGAACATTCGGTAATTTTTATTCTGTCATGAAAAGAGGGAGGGAAAAAATAATCAAATATACGACAAGCCTGCTGGCAAAAATGTTTTTTGATCTAAACTTACACTATAAACCATAGAATTCATACCCCGTTTAAATATAGAAACGCATTAATTCCAATCTTGCAGAGCTACACCAGATAAAGAATCTTTCATATTGGGTGTACCCGATGCCCGTGTCCCCTGCTGTGTGCTCTGGTTTCACCCATCCGCAGCTAAATCATTACACTTGTGGAGGGACACATTAGTAACTTAGCGGATGGCAGGAAAAACTAGAGTGTGGGGCTTAAAAGGTGCCATGGGGTTTAAAAGTTGGCCCAGATTATTAAACTATAATTATATAAAATACATCACTTTATTGCATGGCAAGATTAAAACCAGAACCACACAAGCTAAAATTAAAAACACTGCTCATGTGTATGGTATGCACCCTATCGGAGGAAGCACTGTGACCACCATATAAGATACTTGAGCAGAACCCTCGGTGACCAATGTCTCTAGATGAGTGCCTCTGTTGTGCCCCCTACCATAGAAGGCAGCGGCGTCTGCCCTTTTCATGTGCTCTCGTGTTGCATGGCTAGCCATGAACATCTCTCTCCTGAGGAGGCTTTGTTCAGCAAAACACATTGAGACTCGCATAAACCAGCAGAGGATGGTTCATTCACGTCACATGAGGAGATGTGTTTAATGTTAATGTACGTGGATGTGATTTTAATCACGTCATCCAATAAAGTGATGCATTTTTTTATATTTATAGTTTAATACTCTGTTTGGACCGCCTTTAAAACCCCATTTATTCTGCTGTTTGAGCGGAGTACGGATTTTCTGGAAGGTGTGGTGCCTGGTGCTTAGGACTCTGCATGTTTATGTGGTGCACCGCTTACTTTTTTTAAACCAGAGTGTGCAGTGAGGAGTGTCCAACACACATATAAATGTTGGATGCTGAAGATTCTTTGGGAGTGTAAATCTGCAAGATGGTGACGATAGGCTGGTAAGTATTGACTTCTCCAAGTAGTTTTTTTCGTATTTAAAGCAGCAATATAACAATTATGTGCACATATCTCCAATATACACAAGTATGACCAAGTATCTTGTAGAAATGAGCTACAGCACACCGTGTCTACGAACCTCTCCATCAGTTGCGTTGTTAGACGGCATTTTGCAGACATTAAAGGCCACTCGCTTTGTCTCTGTTCTGTACACCCTCAAAACACTGCACACAAAAAGGAGAAGCAACTGTTATGCGATACTGACAGAATAAATTAAAATGAAATCGTCCTATTAGGATGCATGTTTGATGCATCAGAGTAACACCCTTTAAAAAACATTTTTTTAAAAATCAAGACACCACGGTGGTATGTACACAACTGAAATCCTCATAGCTCAAATATTATATATACGCCAGTGAAATCTTACCGGTCACAGCTCAGTGTCGCTATGTACTGGCCCAGGGGATCCCAGGTCACTCCCTGAACGTAGCTCTTGTGTTCATTAAATATAGACATTTTCTGGCCTGCAATTATCAAAAGAAAAAAAAATTATATTTATATATGCGATAACCTTGACAACAACAATATGCAGCATACAGAGAGAACTATGGGCTTAAAAACCTTGGAAAGCATACAGGGACAAGGAATTATAGGGAAACTACAAGCAGCTAAATACACAGTTGAAATACATATAGCTTTACTGTGTAACCTGCCAAAAGAATTGTAATTTTATACAGCCAATCTTACACACATTTCCCACACTGCACAGTCAAATGATGCACATAGCTCCTGACTAAGCAATTCAACCTCCTAGGTCTCCTCTCCACCTCCATCCTTCAGAAAGTTAATTAACATTACCTCTGAGCACACAGCTCAGAGGTAATATCTAGTAAAATAGTATAGAAATGTGTATTTTAAATGTATATTTGCTATTTGGATAAAAGAAAAACCTGAGCAGTTAAAGTGAAACTCGGGACAGACATAGCTGTAGTGCTCCAGGCCACCCAAATCCCTTTTGAAGGTAATCTGGTGACCTTTTTGCAATGTGGGAGAGATATTCGAAAAAAGATTCAGAAAGGCTGGAAAATTGACAGCTGTAATAAAACCTAAAAAAAGGCAATTATATATTTCAGCCTGCATGACAAAAGAAAGCAGAAAGTATACATCAGTATAGGGCTCTACAATGAATATGTTATCCAATACACACCTATAAGCAAACATGCAAGTCATTTACTCTAACCACTTTCACAGACTGGCCTTCCTAAGCCATGGCGAGTCTGCGCTGCATGATCTTACATTTATTGGTACACAGCATGGATTTAGGGCAGACTCACAAAAGGAATAGCCTAGAGACTAAAGTCAACTTAACATTTAAAAATAACGAAGCACACAAACTAGGGATGCATTGATACCGGTTTTTCAGTATCGAGTGCCAATATTTTTTTCGGGTACTCGCCGATACCCAATACCGGAAGTCCCATTAAGGAAGCCAGGCGGCGTGTAAAGACTTGCCACTCGGCTTCCCAATTAGCAGAGAAGCCGTCTGCATGCTACTCGTCACTAGATGACAAGAGGCATGGAGACGGCTTTCTGGCCAATCAGGAAGACGGGCGCCGTGTAATGACGCGGCAACCGGCTTCCTAATTGGCCGGAAAGCCGGCTCCATTATCCCTCATCATCCAGTGACCAATCAGAGAGCCAGCTGCCGCATCATTACTCAGCGTCTGGCTTCCTAATTGGCCAGCTTCCCGACCAATCAGGAAACCGGGCAGTGAGTCATTACACGCTGCCCGGCTTCCTGATTGGCTGGGAAGTGCTCTCTCGTCACAAGTGATGAGGGAGCATGGAGCTGGCTTCCTGGCCAATCAGGAAGCCGGGCAGCGTGTAATGACTCGCTGCCCGACTTCCTGATACCGCAAACTCGGGTATCGGGCTAGGCATCAGAGCATTTGGGCGAGTACTAGTACTCGCCCAAATACTCGGCATCGGCACAGATACTCTAGTATCATTGCATCCCTAACACAAACCCACCCATTATCTAATATTGTGAACATAAAAGTAAAAGATCCCCAAAACGTCTGGTCAGTACATTTTAAGATCTACCAAATGCATCTTGGGAGACTGATTTCTTCAGACCTCCATTGCGTATCCAGTTCAGTGGGCTTTAGTATGATTGATGGCTACAAGCGCTAGATTATCCAATTTCGGATACGCTGATCTAGCACAGAGTAACCAGTTGCAAAAAATGCGTTCTTAGAATTACATAGAGAACACCCATGGATATATGTAGCTATCACACCTTTAACAGCATCCCAGATGATGGCGGAGTTGTCCACAGATGCAGAGACCATGAAGTTGCTGTCTTGTGTCCAGGAGATGTCATACACATCCTCCAGATGACCCCTGTGAATAGTAAAGACAGATTAAAAGTCAAACAATCCATTTGGAAAGCAAAGTAAAATAAAGGGAACATCATTTACATTTGATAGAGGGCAGGTAAAATTCTATCCTAGTTTAATTTCTACAGTCCCATAGTCCTAATGTACCAATCTCCCCCAAAAGATGGTACAGGAGGTCTGATTCTGAAGCTTAAAAACTGTACACAGCAGGATAAAATATCTGGGAGGTACTGAAAGCCATATTTACACCCTTTCCTCTCCTTTCTCTTAAGCATCCTTTTTTTTGTCAAGAGAGGTATTCAAAACATTGAGTGCAGAATACAAATGAGGCTGACAGCCAGGTTGCTGGCTGCATGTTTGTTAAAGTGTCCACCATAGATCCATGAGGTCATCAATAAAAGTCAACGGTTGACAGGTTTAACCCAAACACTAAAATATGCCATAACTTCCTGGCACCTAGAATATGGGCTGATATACATGACTGAAATGCAGACAGTGTTGATGCAGAGAGACTGCTGAATTAGTAGCAACATGGTCAGTCAGATTGATCTGCATGTCTGCATCTGACCCCAAGTATATGTGATCAAAACCGAACATCACTATTTTCTACTTTCCTCCACAGATAATTAAGCAACTGTATAATGATCAATGGATACTGAAAATATTGGAGCCGATACCTCAAATGTTTGTACACAGTCCAGTTCTCCTTGTTCATTTCAGTGTCCTCTTCTTCATTGAATGGGGTCACTTCCATTTCCTTGCTTTCACTCAGTTTCCATAACAATATTACAGCATCTACAGTGCACACAGATTAATTAGGATATGACCAGTATGTATTCAAGAAGTGAAGAACGACCACCACTTATTGCACATAACCAACTCTCATCTTTTCTGGGAGAACAGTACAATGTAACTGGTTTGCTATGGGCAACAAGAACTTCAAGGTCAAATCATACAATACACAGTGTAGGATGCACCCATACGTTACATATAACCAAACCACACAACCTACCGTATTTTACGCTCCATAAGACGCAGATTTCTCCCCCCAAAAGTCAGAGGGAAAACGTGTGTGCGTCTTATGGAGCGAATCCCTATTGTCCGACTCCGGGAACATGCAGTTTCGGGCGCCGGGCGAGTAGTTTTCTGTACATTTAGCGCTGCTAAAGCAGCGCTAAATGTACAGTGGGAGCCGCTGCTCGTACAATACAAGTGATCTATTTAGATCACTTGTATTAAAACCGAGCGGCAGTGATCAAGTCCGCCCCAAACCGTGGTTTTCGGGTGCCCTGCTCCTATGGGCCCGTGACCACGGGATAGGAGCTCACCATAGAGCTACTAGAGCAGACGAAGAACGTCTGGAAAAAACGTTAGTTCTTCGTCTGCTCTGTGTGAACACTGAAAAAGTGGCACTGTAGTCACAGCGCCACCTGTCTCAGCGGTCACTAACTGCAGCTTCTGTAATAGTTTGTCACAGAAACTGCCTGTTTCTATGGTCCGGTGCGCCTTATGGAGCCCAAAATACGGTAATTAGTTGCTCTGTAATCTGGTCAAGGATGTCTGGAAAAAATATGCCAGGGGGTACAAACAGCTTTTTGTATAGCAGAGCCAGAATGGGCAGTTTTACTAGTACAATAGTTAACATGGAGCCCTGCCTTGAGCACACATCACGCTAAACTGTAATGTAACAAGAGTGTGGGTGTAGCTACCTCTCGCTTCCTGGGGATCCACCATGTTGCTGTTCACTTGCACCACATCAGTCCCACACTGCAGTAAGAAATGAAATCGATCCTCTACCCCCATCTCCGTTTCTTTAATCAGTGTTAATTCATACAACTGTAAAGCAGCAGAGCCCTGCCCATCAGGGGAAAGGGCCTGATCTTTCTTTACTGCAGTTTTACTTTCTCATACAGGTGTCTCCCCCTCCCACCAACCTGTCTGATTGAACAATGAAGGAGAAGCAGAAGACTGGTTGACGCAGCAGCAAAGGTACGGGGGGCAGCAGCAGAGGTACGGGGGGATTAAAAGGGACACAGACCGCTGCAGCCAGCACCAGCAGGGAGGACAACGGACCAGCAGCAACTAATCGATGAGTATCATTGCCAACAATTCTCATTATTGATTTCATCGATTAGTTGTTGCAGCCCTACTGCCTGCTCACTGCAAGGGTTAAATGCTCATTTAGGTCTAGGGTACCTAGGAAAAGGAATTTTACTCACCTAATTACCAGTCCTGCAGGCTCCAAGACCAGCACCTGCAGCCTCTTTCCTTCTACACTCCAGCGGTCAGTTGCCCAGTGACATCAACAAGTACAATGCAGGGCCTAAAATCCTGCATTATTTGTAAAAAGCACCAAGGGACAGTCGACAAGCTGAAGCATAGGGAAGAGGAGTAGGGCAGTGACTGCTGGGCGAACAGGGATGAGGTAAATAAAACTGCTTTACCCGATACGCTAGACCTAAACGATCATTTAATCCTTGCAGTGCAGTGGGCAGCCCAAAGGCAAAGGGTTTTTTTTTTTGCCACGGACAAGAGCTTTAAAAATGAGCCAACATCTGGTTGATATTTCATTCCCTCTTCTTTTCACCAAGGATTGCATTTCTTAATCTGCTTAAAGTTTGCTGTAGATCCTCAAATCATCTCTGAATTGGTGATGACACTGTATTTCCTTCTATAGGGGGGCTACTTTTGTTCCCTGTGGTCCTTGTGTGTATTGTAAAGTAGTCACTGCTCCAAGCTCACTCCTGTGATGAACTACAATCTCATGTTTAGTTTACTAATTTGTATTGAGATTGTAGTCCATCACAGGAGTGAGCTTGGAGTGGTGACTACTTTACAACACACACAGAGACCATGGGGAACAAAAGTAGCCCCCCTCCAGAAGGAAGGACAGTGTCAGCACCAATACCGAGATGATTGGAGGATCTACAGCCGAGTGACACACAAATAAGATACATTTTTGTTCATAGTTAATGTACTTGAATGCACTTTCTAAAATTTAGTAACCAGAAATTCATAAAACTCTTACCGTCCCCACCAGAGGCCAAGACTTCACCATTTGGCGAGAATCGGACAACGTTGACAGCTTTGGTGTGCCGCACAAGGCTAGACAAGAACTCCACAAGCGCTTTTCCATCTTCTGACTTTTCAATCTTCCATATCTAGAAAGAGAAAAAAAAAAGAGAACAGGCTTAATCTTGCAAGCATCCTCCTGCAACTCTTTACTTAATGATATGGTAATGTGTTTAAATGCGCTCATAATAGCAGGGGACTATCAAAGGAGCTAACAATCCAATGTTCCCACCTCAGCCATACACAGGCGATAGTGTCATCTTAAGCCAATTTACATACCGCTATATTCTTTGATGTGGCAAGGATTGAAAACTTTTCAGGACACTAATAGGGAGAATGCACTAACTACACAGAGACCGTGTCCTTTCAAGACTCCAAACAAGTGCTCAGGACTGCAACTACCCATATTGTCCATGGATTTCATAATTTATATACACAGCCAATGATGTATCCCATGACGATCAGATGTATAATTTACACCAATTAAAACAAGAAAAAAACAAAAAAGAACTGCAAGTGATTTTTTTTTCTCAATCTACAGCAGAATCCTTTCAAAGTAAAGGAACTCTAGCCTCACCTGTTTCCATCTCATGTGCTTATTCTTATTTTAGTGCTTGGGGGAAACTGTGCTGCTCTTTCATTTCACACACACCTCCCCCCCCCTACACTGTGAGCTTCTGTATTTTCATTTAAGGGTATTGAAGTAGGTATAATTCCTGCCTATGTGCCTTGCAAATTCAGCAAGACCCGCTGTTTGTCAAAGGCATGGCCCCTGGATATAGTAAGTGCCAATTAAAGCTGCTGCATCCTCTGTTGTGCACACAACTTCCATAGAGACGGTTTTATCTACATGACAGATAGTTATATATAGCCCGTCCTCTACCTGTACACAATGAAACATAAGACTTCACAGTAGGGTCTGCGCAGTATGAACCGAACTGCAAACACATGTAACAGAATCTTATTTCATCTGGACGAGAAAGTATAATCTGCAGACAGCCCCGTCCTCCCTGTGCACACTGAAGAGCCAAGTATAAAAATATCGATTGCTGCATACTGGAATTCAGCTTTAACCCCTTCATGACTGAGGCCCTTTTTTCATTTTTTGCACCCATGTTATATTCCAGATTTTAGGCCTGAAAATGACATAAAACCCCCCAACATTAAGCTTTTAAAATAATTGACTAGAAAAAAAGTGTTTTTTTATTGCACAAGAGACAAACTATGTATCTCCTGCAATAAAAGTTTGTGCCATACTGTTTGCAAACTTATGTAGAATGTCCCGAGTTTCACATGTAGAGCTCAGTGTACACCTCAGTGCCAGGAGTTGAAGTGACAAATAGTCACAAATATCCCCCCACACACCGCTTTAAAGACTTACCTTAAATGACGCCTCTTGATCCGATCATCTTATTCCTTCCACTTGTATTCAGCAGTCCCTCCAGCACTGGTGCCGGTCTCTGATCCGCCGCAGACTCCCGTTTCTTCCTGTCACACGGTGTCTGTCCGGCGTGCATACTTACAGCTGCATGCATTGACTTACAGCGAGTCTCTCCTCTTCTCCCCATCAAATATCTGTACAGCATAGGCGCTTGCCCCTTCATGCTGCTCGAGAATCTTTAGATCTTCGTACGGGAGCGAGCAGCAGAGACACAGGTAAGTAATAACCTTAATAACTTTTTAAAAATGTTTTTGCATATATCTACTGCTTGCTAGAAGTAGATATATGCAAAAATAAAAAAGGGGAGTTTAATTATATTTTAACTTCCGTGCAGGAGTTAAGAGAACTAGGGGGTAACCTTTTAATTCCATAGTTCTCTTAAGGGTCACGGGAGGACATATACTAACATCCTCCTGTGACCCAAAGCTCAGAATATAGCGGGTTATACCGCTATATACTGAGAGCGCCGCAGCCGGGATGAACCCCGCGATAATACTGTCTGGATCCACCCAGCTGAGTGAGTGACAGCTGGCTCTGCCTAACTAAAGGCAGAGCCAGCTGTGCCCGACCGCTCCCCTGTACGTTCCACCAGTCAGTGCTGGAGGATCGGAGAGGGGGGGAAACCCTGCGGAGAGCAGTGACTGACAGTCACCGCTCTCTGCAAGGAGATGATCGAGAAGTGAGCAAGCAACTGTATGTGTTCGCTCACTTCCCGATCTATTGAGCCGACGTGTGACAGTTTCAATGGCACACGTCAGCTCTAACTATGAAGAGTGTAAATCACTCACATCATAGTTCTCCTTTAAGTCATCTCAGGCCAGCAAATCAAGATGGCCAAAGATGCCAAACCCAGAGAAGATGTCATTGTTGAAGCTTGCAGGAGCATTTCTGGAAGGGTGGCGAGCACTGAGGAATTCAGTTCGGCTACAAAGCTGAATTCCAAGATTAGCAAATATTGTCTAAATGCAAGAGACGTGTAGATGTGTGCAGTAATCCAGTGTGTAGGACCTTCCTGTAATAAAGACTGGTCACAGCTGTTCGGTTTCCTTGTACATGATGACTGGATTTATATTTGCCCCTCCTCGTTTTCTGCAGGCAGCCTGTAGTGGGTGGACCTTCTGGGTCCCTCCCACAGCTCTGCTCTCTGCAACACAGTGATGAAGTTACTTTTGCATGGTTATAATTGGGTTGGCAAAGGCATTTGGTGCACACATAGTAGATTTACATCCTTAGTGGCTTTTGAGGAATATATTTAAATTAACGTTTTTATGCCCATGACTTCAGCTTTGGGGGGGGTGCCTAGAACAGCTAATCTCTCACACATGTTAATCACCAGTTAGTAGGGAGATTACTATTTTTTTCCATTTAGATCCTCTCGGTGTAAGAGTAACGTACCCGCACTGCAGTGTCCACTCCCGCTGATGCCATTCTATTCACTTTACTTGTCCCATGCTGGAAATCAACACTATAGACGGGCTCGCGGTTATGCCAGGAAATCTCACAGGTGTTGACCTTCATTCTGAATGCTAAGACATTGACAATAAAAAAAAAAACAAAAATAACCAATTTTAAAAAGATATGAAAGTTAATACCTTTTTTTTTTTTAAATGTCTTGAAAACAAAGTCCTCCCTACCAGAAGCATCACTGAATCAGGAAGGAAGGGGATATCATGAGGCCTAAAATGGGGAAAAAAACGTGCAGAAACTTTCTTGGGCAAACTCACCGGCCCAAGTGGCTCATTCGGCTAATGAAGGGGGAGGAGTCTGGTGACATCACGTACATCGATGTCACCGGACTCCTCCCCCTTCCCTTTGTTAGCCGTCACCGGACTCCTCCCTCCTTCGTTAGCCGACGGAGCCACTTGGGGAAGGAGTCCGGTGATGTCGATGTCCGTGACGTCACCGGGACTCCCGGAAGCCGGCGGAGAGGTGAGTGTTTTCATTAGCGATCAAAATAATTTTAATCGATCAAAAAGTCGAGAAATTAATATCTTTAATTTCCACAGCCCTAATAGATATATATAGATATATTGTGCTATACATACACTTTAAGGACAGTAGTAAGAGATGAGCCTGACTGGAGGAATATTAGGCCTCGCACACATGGCCCTATAGAGCACCGTGGTTCTCAACCTGTGTAACCTCAGGCATTACCGAGTGTTCCGGTGCTGGCAAATGAATGACAATCCAAGGCACCTCCCGCACGGTAGGTGCAATTGCATGGTATAGTGCGTTTAAATTTTTGTTTTTATTATTATTAAGACCCCCCGCAGTCTTTCTACCTTACAAGGACCAGAGTGGATCCTCAGCCTGGGGTGACAGAGCTCCGTCCATACATGCATTGCTTGCCCTGTCGAGGTTCCGGGAGCCAGGATGCGATGTCACTTGGTGCCGGACATCATATTTTGAAAGGCTTCTCGGTGCGAGAACTGACAGTGCTGTGCTAGGGGGAGGTTGAGGAGCCCCTCGCCTAGCCCAATGGAAGGCACACAACGAACCACTAAACCCACTTTCGGGTCACGACTCACCAGTTAAGAACCACGGCTATAAAAGGACCTTACAGGCAGCACAATCTCGCATATTAAGTAGTCTGTCCTGCATCTCAAGTCTTAGACATTCATGCATTTTTGTGCCAATGAACTGAGCTTGTAATTCTGTACCGTCATTCTGGGCCCCCGCCACTGCTTACACATTGTTTATGTTTACATCACCCCCCTTTGAATTAGCCTTTCACTATGCCGCAGAGGCACAGAATGACCTCAGTTTCAATCATTCTGAATGACTTTAGGCCGAGGTCATTCTGCACCACAGACCCATTTGGGGGTGGGGGGATGTATGTGGAGGCACCAGTAGAAGTGCAGGCACTGGCTACACAATGCTTTACCACTTGCTGCTGCATCCCCTCTAAACATCAAGAGGCTGAGTCCAGATCATGTGACCGCAGATTGGGACATGATCAGGAGACCGCCTCAGCACCTTACGATTGTTTACAATGACCGGCGTGCCGCCTGGGTGTTGGGGGTCATGCAGCGAGCGTATGCTTTTAGGGCAAAACAGTTGAGCCCCATTGATGCATATAGACAGGAAAAGGTCTATATGCATCAATCTCCCCAAGGCTCTGAGGTCACTAGGCAGCAGTCCATATAGCCATGTCCATCCAGTTATGCGTCCAGCAGTCGGAGCGTAAAATGGGACACAAATCCTTCCTGTAGGACACAGCTGTGTACAGGCCCATATATGTTCCAGATCTGAATGCCCCGTATCCATCTGGGGCAATTCCAGGGCCAAATCTTCAAACATTGGCACTGTGCCCAAATGATGGAATAATATACTCTTGTGACAGCACACATCTTTAAAGCCTGGAGGGTCACAGAGAAGAATAAAGGGCTCCCTATACAGATACAGTGTCATGGCCTCCACTTTCAATACGGGAATCATGACTCCCCCACATACAGCACAACCTGTAACCACTCTCATAGTCACGTCCCCACCCGCACCGTAGATACTGCACCTCGGTCTCCCTTGTCCCCGGGCCTTTCAGAGCTGGTGAAGCTGATCGCGGGTGTGGGTGAGCCCTCCCGGTACCGGCACTCACCTCCCGCCGTGTGTCACTCAAGGCACTGTTTGACTGCAGAAACTTTCCCGCCCGCGCCCCTCTCTCTGCTCTTCCCCGGTTCGCCGCCGCTGCAGCGACATCTGGCGGCGCGGCGGGAGAACTGCAGTGTCTCCATGGCAACAATACGAAGGGGTTTTTTTTCATTTACGTATTTAAATTTAAAAAAATTACATAATTATATTTAATAAAGAAAAAAAATGTCGTAACACTGAAATGCTTTTTTCATTTTCGATAGATTGCAGAAGGATAAGAACGCCTGTCAGTTTTTTTTAGATATGTCCCTGCTAAAGAGATTTACTTTCTGGTTTTGTCCCAAAACACAATATAATACCAAATTATAATTTTTTTGTTAAATATGAGAGGAGGCTGTCTGTGCCAAGTAAATATATACCCAATATGCCAAGCTAAAAAAAACAAACAGCGTGCGCCCGTGCAAAAAAACATGGTACCCCAAATTGTTTATAGGCTACCCTTTAACCCTTTCCCTGCCAAAGCATTTTTTGCACACGTTCTAATCATTTTAGGCCTGAAAATGACTTTACACCCCCAAAACATTATGGGGGTTATTTACTGAGCTGCCAAAGGCAGCCCAGTGAAGAACCGAGCCGAAGGGAACTGAGCCGAAAGGCATTCGGCTATTCACTTTGGCTCTGTACGGCTGATTGCAGCTGTACATCGGCTAAAGCAGCACAGCGCAGTGCTGAGGCGAAGTGCAGAAACCGTTCCAACATCTGGATCGCCTGAGCCGAACCTCCAGCAGTTCACTTGTTGCTGTTCTCCCCTATTCTCATAGGGGTCGGACAGCAGTGAGTGAATAGCCGAGTGCCGCCAAGCGGCACTCGGCTCGGCTATTCTGCTCGCTACCTCACACCAGCCCCAGTGCATTCCGACACGATTTGGGGCCCGAACGCACTGCATAGCATCCCGATTAGCTCACTGTGTTCTGGGGTGGGAGGGGGCTTGGTGGTGCATTGAAGTCAATGGTACTGCATATCCACGCCCCGGCCGCACCAGAACAAATGGCACATCAACAGACATCTCAACTCTCCCGGACATTCTGCGAGTCTCCCGCTATAAGATAGCGGCTCCCGGACGCCCAGGAGGGAAACATTTTATCCCGGAAAGGTTTACTCTGCTCTGTCTAGCAGAGTAAACCTTTCCCTGCTATCTGGCTTTTATTTTAATTCTCACATTGGGGCCGCCATCAGAGTTAAAAAAACAAAAACAGACCGCATGGAAATGAATAGCTAGGCTGCTATTGGCTATTTCAATTTGCAATAGCCAATAGCAGGCTGGCTATTGCACCCGCCCTCTGCTGCTTTCAATCAGCAGAGGTGGACTTGAAGTTATCCATCAGGTCCTCCTCTGCTGATTCACAGCAGCAGTGAGCGGGTGCAATAGCCAGCCTGCTATTGGCTATTGCAAATTGAAATAGCCAATAGCAGCCTAGCTATTCATTTCCATGCTGTCTGTTGTTTTTTTACTCTGACAGCAGGAGCTGTTATAATACAACAAAAAAAACCGCATAAGATAGCAAGGGAAGCATTAGCTTCTCTGCTATCTGCCATCATTTTAGGGAGGTGCCTTCTCACCCAACCGCATATGGTAGGGGGGGTGGGCACCTCTCTGAAATGAGAAGGGCACCTCCCTGAAATGAATTCTTCCAGGTTGGGATGCCTGCATCAATGCCTGCGTTCCAGTCCGATGCAATCAGAAAAAATGCTGCATGCACTGGCTGCAGTGCCATTGACTTCAATGCACCGCCACACCCCCACCCACCCCAAAACGATGCAACAAAACCTCTGTACATTTTATCCCCCCCCCAGCTATATCTCTTTGGACTAGGAACACACAACTGGATTCAGGCCTGGACACTGTCCTGCCTCAGCAGGGAGCGTGTAGGCAACCTCAGCCCTCTAGCCATGGTAACACTACATATCCCCTCATGCCTCTTTGGGAGCCTTATGGGATTTGTAGTTTCACCACTGCTGGAGGGCCGTGATTGCCTACCTCTGAGGTGTGTTCATCTCTGCTTCATAAGCGTATCTGGGGGTCCCTATGTGACATTAGGGGTCTTAGAGACCCCTGATGTCTCCATAAAGATGACCTGTTATGTAAACTGGCTATCACTTAGTCCCCTATGTGATAGCAATAAAGTTAAGTGTAAAAAAAATTAATTCCAGGATCAACAACCACCTGCGTCCTCACTCTTCTAGGATCAACAACCACCTGCGTTCTCGCTCTCCGAGGATCAACAACCACCTGCATCCTCGCTCTTCGAGGATCAACAACCACCTGCGTCCTCGCTCTTCGAGGATCAACAACCAACCGCGTCCTCGGAACTCTTTTAGGATCAACAACCACCTGCGTCCTCAGGGCTCTTCCAGGATCAACAACCACCTGCGTCCTCGGAGCTCTTCCAGGATCAACCACCTGCGTCCTCGGAGCTCTTCCAGGATCAACCGCCACCTGCTTCCTCTGAGCTCTTCCAGGGTCAGTAACTAGCTGTGGCCTAAAAGCTCTTCTAGGATCAACAGCCACCTGCGTCCTCGGAGCTCTACCAGAATCAACAACCACCTACTTCCTCGGAGCTCTTCCAGGGTCAGTAACTAGCTGTGGCCTAAAAGCTCTTCTAGGATCAGTAACACAATGTGTGCTCCTGATGATATACATCACACACACCTGAAAAGGTAGTTTTAAGGTGTGCTTTTCTGCTTCTTAAGCTTATGCTAAGGTGGTCACTTTAATACCAATATGGTGATTAGTGGGGGGTGGGGTGCCAGCTTCACTTGAAGGCACACAAGGTTGGCAAACCCATTTATCAATATGATCTGTTCTTCAGATTGCAAAGACAGACAAGAATACACAGCCACGTCTTGTGTTATTGCTAAACATGGCTATTATTTTAGTTTCTCTGAAGGATTACTTAAAGTAAAGCGCTAGTGGGTTGTTTTTTTTTCCTGGGGGAAGTAAGGGACAGGTAACATTTCTGTTAGAACCTGTCTGTGGACAAATTTGTCAACCTCTGGTCTTGCTGGAGCGATTTCATGGCACAACCTCAGTCTCCAACTGGCGAGGAAGAGACTTAAGTTCAGATCCCTCCCATTGATGTGACCCTTCGGGCTTGTTCACACGATGTCCGGACCAGAACAGGTCACTCCTGCACTAAAAAGGCATCCCAATGTACCCCTATGTGTTTTATGGGCTCCAGTTCTCACCAGCGCAGTCCGTTCCGGACAGAAAAAATACTGCAGGTCACATTTTATAGGGTCCGGAACGCGCACGAACGCATCAAAAAACGCGCCGCCCTGCAGTTAACAGCCCCACACAAAAAAAAAAAGGAACTGGTACGCGCTAAAAACGCTCTGCAGGCATAGCACCGCGTCTGCAGATCTGCACCAGAAAATGGTGTGAACAAGCCCTTAGACTACATCAGACACCCATATAAGCAATGAGGGGTGTAGGGGACACCCAAAATGGAGCCACCTAGTCCCACCCAAACCCATCCCCCATATATCCCTCGTTACACACCCTTATACTCCCTTGTTCTTATTTCTATCCTTTTGGGGCAAGAAATCCCACAGATATGTGGGTAACATTTATTATCTGATCATTAGTTATCCCCAATTACTTGCTCACCTTAGAGGCTAGGGCGTCATGGGTCCCACGTGGAAGGGCCGAACAGCGGCGATCCTTCGGTTCCCCCACAGGAAAGCAATAACCGAAGGCCCTCGTTTCTTAAGAAAAGCGAGAGCCGACTCCTCCTAATTCATGCACTGATTCCACCTTATCAGGAATTTGAAGCGCTCTGCCTCTTTATCCTGGTTCCGTTTCATTTTCTTGCCTACATGTTTGATGTATGTAATTGTCCTAATATACCGACATCATAAGACGTAGTGTTGATGCTTACCCTACAAATGTCAACAATATGTTTTGGGTTTGTTTATTGTCACTGCTTTCGATCAGCTCCTGTAACCTCGCTGATCAGAACTTTTGTTAACTATTGTACAAAAACTTTTTTTCTTGAATAAAACTTTATTGGAAACAAAAAAAGACCCTGTCTGTGAACCCATTTACTACACAATTTCAACCAGTGTAAGTACATCATAAAATAAACCCAATCCCCCGTAGGAAGACAACACTGATACCAGTAATAAAGACCATGTGAAGGGAGGTGTGTTTCCACAGCACTCAATAAAAGGATTTATTCAGCAACTGGTGATCAATATAATATATTCAGAGAAGCGTATTGCTCAGACAGTGTCTTTCATGATCTTGGTCAGTTTCTGGATCTTGGTTCTGGTAGACATGTCAATGTATTTGTCTCCAATGCCGACAAGCATTCCACCCAGGATAGTGGGGTCCATCTGCAGAAAAAGGAAACCGATATTCAGAACTTTCACATCAATATGCCCACTGAAGGTTCTATGGCCCAATACTGACCGCACTCATTTAGGTGGCTTAATAATCATATCAGCTGAGGGAGTCAAACATCTGGGTTTCTGACCATTCCATTAGGACTGGTCAAACCAGCAAACAATGTTTTCATCCAGTGTGCATACGCAATGAATAGTGACAACATGACTCAGATTGTGATGAGCACTGATCAGAACAATCAGAACAGCAGAAATCTTGATTCACCTGAATATTTACACATATAGTCTTGACCAATCTCCAGAGAATCAAAAGGATCACAATTCGCTGGCTTCATCAACTGATGTATAGGCAAATATTAAGGGAAATCAACGTGCAGATGACAGATTCTCCTGAAAACATAATTTGTATAAAAAGAAAACATTTCTAACAGTCAATATTTGGAGACTCAGGCCTCGTTCACACCATATGCAGTGCGCTCTGGTCAGATTCTGGCCGGAATGCACTGCCTCGCATTGCGGGCGGCTCACTTTTTTCCCCAGGCAGGAGGGGGCGTGGCGGGCTATTGAAGTGAATGGCACCGTAGCTCCGCCCTCCGGCCGCAATCGGATCGCAAGGCACATTGTGGCTGCAGTGCGGTCCGGTGCGATCAAAATGCTGCAAATACTATTTTGATCACACCGGACTGTGCCTTTGAGATCCTGTGCGGGTGACCGCACTGCGGCCGGAGGGCGTGGCTACGGTGCCATTCACTTCAATGGCCTGCCACGCCCCCTCCTGCCTGGCAAAAAAAAAAGAGCCGGCCGCAATGCGAGGCAATGCGTTCCGGCCAGAATCGGACCGGAACGCACTGATTATGGTGTGAACTAACCCTTAGTTTCTGTTGAAAAGCTTTTTAGATAAAGCTCCTAGCAGATAACGCCCAATAGTCTTTCAGGCAGGTGGACTGACTTCCTGACAAACACATTGCACCCATTTTTACCTCTTTTCCAAATACGCTCATATTTTACAGGTTACAACCACCCAATGGTGCACAACATGTAGCTCAGGGAGCAGTAATCCTAACAAAGTGCACAACAAACCCAAGACTTTTCTGGTGCACAATACCACTTCAGCTGAACAGTTCATATTTTACATCTTCGTTATAGCACAGCTGTCAGGAAAGACACATAGATCCTCCATTGGTGACTTCCTCCTTCTGAAGCTCCTCCAGCTGCCTGGCTGTAATGCTCTCATGTGTTAAAAGTTCAGATCACTTTCCTAGAACAAGTATGCAGAAAAGAACTTCAGACTAGCCTGTGACTTTGGTAATCCGCAAACTTTGGTCGAGGTCAGCAACTCAAAAGGACATACAACCTATTAGGGTGCATAAGGCCCCGTTCACACCTAGGCGTATCGAATATGCGTGTTTGTCGCACGTTTTTACCGCGATTTGCGGTAAAAAAAACGCGCGACAAACACGCGTTTCCGAGGGCTACTTGGCTTTATCCCAATGGAACCGCACGACAAAAAGGCCCCAAAGAAGCTCCTGTACTTCCTTGGGGCGTAGGATGTTTTGTAGCGTGTTCATACGGCCTGAAATACGCCCAGGTGTGAACCATACCCATAGGAAACAATGGGATTTCGGTGAGCGTTTTGCAGAGCGTACAAACGCGCTACAAAACGCCCAGGTGTGAACGGGGGCCTAACAGGCCATAAAGACGTTCACTTTACCCATATAGGTTGATGACATCATTACCCTGGCACACATCAAGAGTCTTTGAGTCTGGGGGATCGGCCGCTCAGACCCAAGCGCTATCATATGGGGGAATGACACATGCTCCCCAATACCCAGAAGCCCCGCTCTGTTGTGACAAAGGAGTGGCGGTTCCGGAGGAGCGCAAATCAGCACGCATACCTTGCTGGTGATCAGAAGGCACTGTCATTATGTCACGAATGGGCGAAGTTAAAGTGTCTCTAAATAGCAATTTCAAAAGGAAGTCAGCAATGGCAACCTCTATCTTTCTCTCATGACAGGTTTATTTAAAGCACATCTGTCAATAGTGCGGCCAATCAAACTAACCTTGTCAGACAATTCTCCATGACATTAATTGGACAAAAACTGCAATGTGAGGCCTCTGCAACCTACTCAGAAGCATCCTGGACTATGGTCAGTGTAGACTTTTCTACAAAGCCAGAAGATGCACCCGGGGGTTTTCGGGGGTCTTAGATTACCCTGTAGCGGAATTTTGAGAAAAATATTCCATGCATCACGTAGTATCTGCTGACAGGGTTAGTTATAGATGTAGGCGTTACTCAGATGAAGTACTGTACATTGCCTGGAAAGTCATACCACACCTTTATCACGATCATGTGATCACTACATAGAAATAGACTCCTACCTTGGTCTCCAATTTCAAAGATTCTCCTTTGGCAAGAAAGCCATTCAGAGCAGACTTCAATTCTGTCAAAGTTGCTTCATCCAAAGGCTGAAAAGAAAAAAAGGTCTTGTTGGTTACCAAACATAGCACTGACTCAAATATTACATGGGTACACAGCTCTCCATGAGAAGTGGAAGTAGAATTTCCATCATGGCTTTCTGCCTTAATCCAAAAATTTCTATTTTTATAGAGTAACAGACACGGCAGGCAATGGGACTTACTGAAGCAGTAGTGATGGAGCAGGGCACCTCTCCTCGATGTGCGCTCATGATCTTGGCAAAGGAACTAATCACACTAGTAGTTTTACTTAGACGACCGTTCTCAGCCAGCAAATCTACAACAGCAAACAAATAAAGTTCATGAGACACAGAAGTGCTGTCATTAGTATGCTACAAGAGATGGGAAGATCCCCCGCTATGGTATAACTACATGCATTATATACACAGTGGAAACCAGTTCTACAATGCAGACGTTGAACGGTGCTGCACAATTCAACAACCTCATCTAGTTGATATCTATTGTATATATCTGTCACTTCTCCAAACAAAGGATATGTAAACCCGAACAATTAACTCATATCTGCTTCTTTTCAGTATGTCAAACCATTGAGAGCATTCTGATAGATCTGTTCAATACATGCAAGACATGAGTGAATGCTGCCAAAATCTTTATCAGCTGATAACTTCCTGTGCTGATCCATTACATTGTTCTCAGCTCTCTCCAGAGCGAAAGAACACCTCACCCTATGTTATGGAGAAAAGAGATGAGGTTTCTGAAGTCCTGTCCCAGTGCAATCCCACAGATACAGTACAGTGAGTGAGCGTTAACACACTTTAGGACAACTGAAAAAACACAAACCACAATGCAGCCACCGCATCGAAGAACTGTTAAGCCGTTTCTTGGGTTTCGATACGCTTAAAGTATACTTAAAGCCTCGGCTGTTTTTGCATATATCTCCACTGCTAGCAAGCAGTAGAGATATGAAAAAAGTGTAAAAAAAAAAAAAAACGCTTTGAAAAGGGTTGATACTTACCTGTGTCTTCCCGTCCGAAAATGTGAAAAATCTCAGGCGGCCGCGAAGCATCTTGGGGCGGGCGCATGCGCAGATCACATTTTCGGCTGGGACGTGAGGAGAGACACAAGGTAAGTCTATGGACGGCGTGCACCCGCATGCAGACACCGTGGGACAGGAAGTGCCAGCAAGGACAGAGGAGTCAGCGCTGGATCAGAGACCCGCAGTAGCGCTGGAGGGACACATGAAAAGGACAAGAAAGAAGATCGGATGAAGAAACATCATTTAAGTTAAGTGCTGACACTAACATTGGGGGAGGGAAAAACATTTTTGACTTTAATGTCACTTTAAATGAAGAGGAATTTCTTCCATCTCCAACCCAGAGCAGTACTTTTAATTTTTTTTTAATTTTTACCCAATAGCACCACCTGCTATAAGGCCCCGTTCACATCTGACAATAGGACCAAATCGCATGAGTCTCACAAATACCTCCACGAGACTCATGCGATCTGCTGCGGACAGGAGGTGCTATACATTACAATGGCAGCTGTTCAAGTAAATCGCACAGACAGTCTATTCAAATTTGAAAAACATAAATGGGGGGAATTTATCAAAACTGGAGCAGATTTGCGCTGCAACCAATCAGCATGCAGTGGGTTGTGCCGCGTTCTGGGCCATTTTTGGTTAATATATATATATATTTTTTTTTATTTAGTTTAAATGGGCTTTCAGTGCGTTTGCATGCGTTCCAGAGCAGGTAAAATAGGGTTTGCTGCAGTTTTTTTTTACCTGCTCTGGAACGGAACGCTGCAATGTGAACTGGAGCTAAAAATACCATAGGAATACATTGGATGCAGTTTGGCTCCGGTCTGTAACTGCTCTGCTCCTGGAACGCACTTGGTGTGAACAAGGCCTTAATCGAAGGAGGAAACTAATGCAAATATTCTGAGAACTTGCCACACTTTCATACTGTGCCAGATCCTCACTACTGGGTGAAGCATAAAATTAAATTGCTCCCGGATATACTTTGGAGTTAACATCTCTAAGGGCATCAACCTGTTATCACAAAGTATTTGATTCCTTGCTCCCATTATGTCCGATATGTAGAACCTTCCCATGCCTTCTGTTCTCAGTTCCCTAGACGGGTTATTCAGACTGTTAGCTATTGAATGTCTTGCCAGGGAGCAATATTCCCTGAAAGCAGTCTTCGGCTTCTATCATCTACTCCAGACCATCTACTGTAAATCTTACCCGTCTACAAGCCAAATGGACCACTAATTTTCTGTATCTGGATAGTGAGGATTGGGAAGAGGTCTGGCATACAACATTTATGCATCTAGCGTAATGTGCGCACAGAACGGAGACCTCAGGCTGGACTTACTGACAAAGTTGGTGGTAATAGGGGAAAACTTCTCCTTTGTGAAGAGATCGGTAATGGTCTTCTGTTTCATTGAGCGCTTCACATGAGGGTTAGTAATGACGATGGACAGTTTGGGGTCCTTAATAAGTGTCTAAAAGATAAAAAAATAAAAAACACATGCAAATTGTTACACAGATACACAATACAATTGGTAATTCGCCTGTTCAGCACACTGTTAGCGGTAGACCTTTTGATCAGTTATTTGATTTGAGTAACTAGCGCCAGGACTTTGGATATAAAGTAGAACGGCTACCCGCCAGTGTTAATTTCATAGACTAAACATTTTGCTAAAGTTATCAGGCGCATGTTTTCAGCGATGAAAACTAAACGAAAACCAAATAGGGCTAAAACTATGACGAAAATACATTGCAATTTTCGTTGACTAACAAAAATGGGAGAGACTACAGGCAGTCCCCAGGTTACGAACAAGAGAGGGACAAGACAGGGACTGTAGGTTTGTTCTTAAGTTAAATTTGTATGCAAGTTGGAACAGGTACATTTTTTAGGTGTAACTCCAGCCAAAACATTTTTTAGTTTTGGATAGCACAGGGAAGGGTTAACCCCCTGCAAAGTTTGTTTTGCTGTGTGTGCCCCTGTTCAGAAGATTTCACCTCACGTTCTGTCCCTGTGACAACTGGATTGTGAAAATTTTGGGTTGTCGTGGAACCAAGGATTAATGATAAAGCTTCAGTGGAGACATCTTTTTTTTCCCATGATAACTCTTACACGAGTGATTTTCGCTTCTAGGTGTAGATTGCCTTTCACTTCCTGTTGTTTCAAGGACAGGAAGTGAGATTAAATCTTTCTAATGAGGATACAGACTGCAGTAAAAACCTCACAGTGACCCGGAAGAAGAGGTGGGGACCCCTCGTCTGCACGTCCAACAAGAACCAACTTCATGTAACGTACGTACAGTACTACAAACCAGACGCAAAAAGGCGGGCACTCCTCGTCGGCACGAGCACGGTAGCATTACAACTACCCCTGCTGTACAGTAATAGCCTTCATTTGTAAGTAGGAATCGGATGTATGTAACTCGGGGACTGTCTGTATTGCATCTATTTGGACTTCCGGCTCCCTGGGAGCAACACCCAAGCCCCAGTCCTCTGGCTATCAGCAGCTGGATTGGCCGAGACACAGGCTCCATTGGCCTCCCTGCCGCCTGGATCAATGCCCGGCAAACCGCAGAGAATACTCCATCGGATTTGTCGACTATTGTCACTCAAGTGTTTCTCCTCCCTCTCTTCCTAGCAACGTGTAACAGCCTTCTCAGACTTGTTCCCTCCCTCACACCCATTTATTTCCCCATTAAAGTTAAATACAAGAGACATTCTATATCACAAAGGATAAATCTTTGTATTGCATGTACACACCTTAATGCCATGAGTAATAACAGACTAATAGAGTTTTACTCCAGGATTATAGAATGAGATTGGGAATTCGCGAATTGCTTAAAACCGAAATAAAAAAAAAAAATAAAAAGTCAGGCCGAAACCGAAAAAAAGTCAGGCCGGCGTCTCTCCTCCCACATCGCTCAGCATATATATATATATATATATATATGCTGAGCGATGTGGGAGGAGAGACGCCGGCCGCTCACCGCGCTCTCCTCCTGCAGCGCTCTGCTGTCAGTTTCTCTCCTCCCCGCTGCGACACAGAGCAGCACCCAGCAGGGGTGGGGATGGGGGAATGGGAGAAAGCAAGGATGCGCCGATGTAGCGACAGGAAAATGGCACTTTCTTATGACAGCACAGATCACAGAGGGTGGAGAACAGTATAGGAAAGTTATACAAATACGAGATGTGCGCCGGTAATAAGATGGAAAGGGAACTCCAGTCAGAGACTTTTTTTTTGAGAGTGTGGGGATGATAAGAATCTGTATATTAATAATGACCGGTTAGAAAAGGTTTCTCTTTGCTTCCTGTCAGGTCACCAATACAAATAAAATGTGGGGCCATTTTTCCAAAGGGGACACATATGTATACTTCTACAGAGCTGGGAAGGGTTTGAATGTCAATCAAATTTATACTGCTGCCCGTGTCCCCAGATATGCCCTCATTTGCAGTCCCTATTATAGGTGTCACTGGGACAGGAAACAACGGGCAATGCCTGCAAATATGGTGAGATATAATTACAGACAAACACGGATTAACATTGCTTTTCCGGCATGGTATTCCAAATCTGAGGCCTGTTCATAGGATGCCATAGGACAGCTCTGCTCCTATAAACAAGGCCTGAAGCCTGTGTGTTTACTGGTCATGTGATCTCAAATAGTCACTCATCAAGCTCACAGCATAACTGGCTTTTGTAAAATGTCATCTTTGTATCTAGCTCCCTCTTTACTACCTGAAAGACATTTCATTTGTGAAATCTATTGTCCCGTTTTATCGTATGTTAGAAAGAATTGCACAAACGTCAGGTGCCCAAAAACATGAAAGCCGCCCCCTGGGAAGGGTAACCCCCCACCCCCACCCATTACAGGGCTAATACAGCTAGTTTTGAGTGAGGTTTATTTTATTATTTCAGATATACACAATGAAGATCAATGGCTATAATAACATTCTGCTTACCAATATTCTGGTCAGTTCCTTTTCCACCTGATCCAGTTTCTTCTCTTTGAAGGCAGCAGAGTAGAGAGCGTTGGCATAGCGACCTTCCAGGCCAAATACCTGGACTGGGGGCTACAAGGAACGACAAATAAAAACAAAGTCAGTCGAATCAATTACAGATTAAAAATGAATTTATAATGGTATGTGTTTTTTTTTTTATCTTTTAGTGTATTTCCACTAATGCAGCCAAATTGGGTTAACACCTATTTTATTTTTATTATATGTTCCCGTTCAAAAATGCAGCTCCTCTGCCTCTCTCCTCCCTGCATAACCTTTTATGTAGCTGCATGATGAGGGAAGAGCAAAACTATAGAGTGTCTGCTGACATCACATCCAAGATGGGGCACCCAGCAGAAATCTCAGAGCTTTTGGAGGTCTACACGAGGGAAACTTTTATATGTAAAGAACATGAATCAAATGCACATATAGATCTTACGGAAAGAGCTGCGTAAAAATGAATGGTCTGAAAACCGGGTCTCTAATGCTAACAAAAAAACTTGCATAATAAGTTCAACTCCCCTCCCCCCAATAACTATTTACTGAGAAATGTGTTACCTTACAGAGCAGTATGCAACAATGACAACAGGCGATCAATCACAGCATGGCATATGGGATATAGTGAAACTTACCCTAACCAGCTTGGAGACTGGTCTGGACACACTAGTGCTGAAGGAACGCACCTAAAAAATAATAATTCTGATAGTTATACAACTGAAAGAGTAATTCTTCATTGCTAAAAAAAGACGAAAGCATCATGTATCCTAACAAGCTGGCCCATGCCCGATGTGTAGCTATACAATAAAAAGGTACATTTTACATTTGCTCACAAAATTCTATAAAATAAAAGTTTACACACACACACCCGAAATTTATAAATTGGTCAGGCCAAAGCACGAGAATGTTTTTTTTAGTCCCCTCTGATCTCCGCTGCCTCTACCAAACACAGGCAGGGGAGAGCAGCGGGGACACAGACCAAAGCTTGCCGCAAGCACCCATTGGGGAGGAGAAGCTGGGGATGAACTACATTTTTGGCCGGTTTCTTTGGTACCATCGAAATTTTGCCCATAGTACCATTTTCGGACAAATTTTTTTTTTTCGGCGCATCCCTAATTTTCAGTGACCCAGCATTCCATCGGAGGGGTTTATTCCTGCTCATAGTCCTGATCAAACCACTATACCACGAGCGCAATTCTAGTCTTTGGACTCATTAAAAGAGAACTAAGGGGTAAGTGTTTTTCCCCATAGTTCTCTTTAGGGTCATATACTAGCATCCTCCCGTGAAAAGCTCATTATATAGCGAGCTACAGCTACACCCCCGTAGGGGTGCGGGTTTTCTGGCCGGGACGCATACAGGATCCATTTAGGCGTCGTATGACTACGCTCACCTGCACCCCTACGGACCTGCAATTGAGGTGAGCGTAGGGCGGTGTAGCCCCATAGAGAAGGACGGGGGCTGCGTACTAATCACACGCAGCACCTGTCCTTCCCGGCAGCTGCTTGGTACGGCCCCGGACGCAGCACGGAGCTGTACGTGCAGGCCGATTCGTGTGTGAATGGGGCCTAATACTGAAACAAAACAAAAAATATATATATATAGAGGTTTCCAATAGCAACCCATCAGGTTTTAAATAAAGGACACCAGGTTGCTATGGGTAACAAGCCCAGCTCGTCTCATCTTGTTACCCTAGAGGTAATGACACAACCCCCTGGTGTGGAGGAGCCTCCGACCTTTCATACAGCCAGAGGACGTTCTGTCCATGCAGAGCACATGTGACAGCGGGAACACAACCGAGACAGGGCGTAGAGAAGGGCCGGTAACAACACAGGACACCCCAACATCTTCCACACCAACCCCCAGGCCTCATTCTCGCGCTCTCACACTCAAGGAGATCCTGCCTGCTGCTGCCATCTTCTCCTCCGGCCGCTGCTCTAGGTCACACCGGCACCTCCCACAGGATAGGTCACGTCGTTCGCCTGTCAACGTAAGCACGCTCGACGGGGTGCTCAAATCCGCAATGCATGCCGGGGAATGTAGTGTGGAGAATAGAGCTGCTCACTGCGCATGAGCGACTGTGTAGGAATTGCTGTGTAATTAATGAGTGTACTGTTCACATTAAAAACAAATTCTAATGTGTCTTTTTCATACGTACACGTTAGATGGATGATTAAACACCATGTAATGGTGTGTTATATGAGGCACAGGTCTCATGTTGTAAAATAGGGACATTGAATAGAGAAAGTGTTCCCCAAGTGTCCCCCATTTAGGGTCAGCTCTGTCATCCTCAGCTGGTCCCCCTATAGGTCTGATGTATGGATCACTATACACAATGGGGGGGGGTTACCAAACCTGGAGCAGACAGAATCTGCTCATGGCAACCAATCAGCGTCTGGCGTCAACTACACCAGATTCTGTCTGCTCCAGTTTTGATAACTTCCCTTCATTGTATCCATCTGGCCTGTTAAATATACCATTAGATGTGTTTTGTTATATCTTCTAGATCAGCGGTTCTCAACCTGTGGGTCGGGACACCTTCGGGGGTCGAATGACAATTTGTCAGGGGTCGCCGGGAGTCTCCCGCTATTAGATAGCGGCTCCCGGCAGCCCGCGAGAGAAACACTTTCTCCCGTAAAGTGCTCTGCTTGGAATGCATAGCTAGATTCCTATTGGCTATTTCACTTTGCAATAGCAAACTAGCTATTGCACCCACCCACTGCTGCTGTCAATCAGCAGAGGGGGACCTGCAGTTCTCCATCAGGTCCCCATCTAGTGATTATCATCATTATTATTAATAATAAAAGCTGACACAGCAGTGGGTCTCAACCTGTGGGTCGCTGTGTGATTTCTGCTGTGCTAGGTGAGAGTCCTTCTCAGCCCTCTCCTAACGCAGCAGTATCAGTTCTCCCGCCACGCCGCCAGATGTTGCTGCAGCAGCCGCATCAACCCCAAATTTTACCGTTGGGGGTCACCACAACTTGGCAAATGTTACCAAGGGGTCCCGGCCCTAGAAAGGTTGAGAACCACTGTTCTAAATAAATGCAAAAAAATAGAAATACCATTTGACCCTGCCAGAAATCTTCTGCTCCTGTGCTGCACTCTTACCAGTTTTCTCTGAGGACTACAGAACACCTCCCCCGTGTTAGGGAGATGAGCACACTTAGGAGTTCACCGGAAGTGACACGATAATACCCGAATTTTGATGCATTTGCCAATGCCGGAACTGTGAACAATACGCCTGCAAAGTTTGTAAATAAGAAGCATACGTGATTCGTGCACATTGTGCTCCGCACTTACTGGCTGGCGGCAGAGGAAGACCTTGTTCGGTAGTTCTAAAACCTTTCTTGTCCCAGGGTGACAATGCTGCTCCTCCATAGATATAGCACAATGAGTGAGCGTTGTCACCCTAGGGCAGGAAGTGTGTTACTGGCAGGATCACCAGGTGAAAATAAGAAAGAGAAAAAAGAAAACCAATGCAGCCGCCGCATCTAAGGATTGGTAAGCTGAACGTTTGAAATTTTTTTGTTCTTGGGTTCAGATGCACTTTAACTACCAACAGTGTTACCCTGAACTTTCATCCAACTTCTACATGAGCTCTAGCAGTGCACTGTTCCTCCAGAGGGAGTTCCTTGAGACGTGAACAGTGGTGGATTGATATCCCGCCTGAATACACTGACCAGCAATGCAAGAGGTTTTGTTCCACTGACCCCCAACCATTTCCCCATCTGCATTACTTTTCTGGTCTTTATTATTATTATTTTATTTCAATACATACCCAGAGACTGACGGAGGGGCTACATGACTGGGGGGGAGGAATAGTCCCGGGAGAAAGAGTTAAAATAAAATGGGAATAGCTGATTGGACGTGGGAGTCAGGTGTTCGGGAGGAGCCGCATGGGAAGGAACTGCGAGGGCTGAGGGACGTCCTCTTTCTGGAAATCGACGAAGGAAGCAGGTTGTCCCACCCTCCCTCCCTGAATTTAAAATAATCACGCACCTGAGCTGTACATAAATGAATTGTTAGCAGGGGTTTTCCTGAGAATCCAAGAACTGAATGCCCCTGTCCATCTTCTCCACAACTGTTTCTCCTTTTGGCCTGATGTAGAGATAATGCAATTCTTAAAAAAAAGTGTTATACAGCACTACAGCCTCGTTCACACCAGATGCAGTGCGTTCCGGCCCGATTCTGGCCAGAACGCACTGCATTGCAGCCGGCTCACTTTTTGGTGGGGCAGAAGGAGGCGTGGTGGCCAATTGAAGTGAATAGCACTGTAGCCACGCCCTCTGGCAGCAAGAGATCGCAATGCACATTGTGCCTGTGGTACGGTCCGATCAAAATGCTGCAAGCACTATTTTGATCACCCCCCACCCCCCGGACCGCAGACACATTGTGCCTTGCGATCCCATGCGGCCGATCGCATTGCGGCCGGAGGGCGTGGCCACGGTGCCATTCACTTAAATGGCCCGTCACGCCCCCTCCTGCCCCACCAAAAAGTGAGCCGGCCGCAATGCGATGCAGTGCGTTCTGGCCAGAATCGGGCTGGAACTAGGGTTGCCACCTGTCCAGGATTCACCCGGACAGTTCGGGTTTTGAATGCTCTGTTCGGGTTTCATGGCAGCAGAAATCTGGACACAAGATGTCAGGCAGACAGGGGCAACCATAATTAAGATAGGGGCTACTGGCCCCCCACTGAAAATAGTCTCACCTGGAATATTTGCATATGAATGGGTGGCACTATTTAGATATGAATAAGCCACGACTAATTTTCCCCAAAAATTGCTTGCGCGTCTCTAGAGTGTTCGGGTTTCACTTGAAGAAAAGGTGGCAACCCTAGCTGGAACGCACTGCATCTGGTGTGAACCTAGCCTAAACCTTTCATGCAACCTCTAAATTGTTGCATCTGTTATTTCAAAAGGCAATGTATGCCGAACAGCTCTAAGGCCATCCTAAAGAAATTTAAACAAAGTCTGACCTTTGAAGTGATTAAAAGTCAGATTTCTAGAGCTGGCCATACACCTGCAGATTTTCTATGGTAAGATGGAAAAAGTGCAACAGATTCTGATTGGATGGCGGCATTGTTCAGGTGTTTTTAGAGCTAGCGGGGCCGACTAGCAAGATACTGAAGCTTGGCCCAGCGGGAGATTCCTCCATCCACACAGTTTAGCGTAGATGGAAGAATCTGTTGCACTTTTTCCATCTGACCATAGAAAATCTGCAGCCTTACTCACAGTTCGCCGCCCAAGGACCTGATGCAGATTTCAGGTGAATCCAACTTCATGTGTACATAAGATCTCAGTAAGAGCGCTTGCTGGAGACCACAGCAGGCGCATCTGTCAGAAAATTTAAAGTGCCGGTATCGGCACTTAGGGTCATGTGTCCGAGTGTTAGCTGGCCTGAAACCCGGACACAGGACTCTTGGGCTTGTTCACACCATTTTCTGGTCCAGATCTGGAGCAGATCTGCAGACGCGGTGCTATGCGTGCAGTGCGTTTGAGTGGGGCTGTAAGTATGTTAGCTGCAGTTCGGTGCGTTTGACGCGTTTGTGCATTTCCAGTCCATTTCCGGACCGGAGAAAATGTGACATGCAGTATTTTTTCAGACCGGACCGGATTGCGCTGGTGAGAACTGTAGCCCATAAAACACATAGGGAGACATTGGGATGCATTTTTCGGTGCAGGAGCGCACGGTTCTGGTCCAGACAGAATACGGACATCGTGTGAACAAGCCCTAAAACCGGACTGTCCAGGAGAATCCCGGACAGTTGGCAAACATATGTTACCCTGCTGCTATGACATTTTTCATAGATCATATCATGTTTTTGCCGTTCCACTTGCACATTTTGGGGATCCCCTAGGAGCAGCCCCCCCCAGGTGTTTACTACACACATAGAATCTGACATCAATGAATAGCCTTTTTTACTGCATTGCATTGTGCTTTAGCGTTTAGGATGTTTTTCACATGTCTGTTCATTGCACTTTCAATTTCTGCCACTGGGTAGCAGATGTTTACCATGTTTAACGCATCTTCCTTCGTCTCTTTTTGTAGAGTCTTTCCTCTTTTCTTTCCTTTCTATGGGCATGCCCGGAAGGGAGGAAATTCATGTCACCTGAGCTCTCCATAATCTATTTACATAGAAGCACATAAACTATCAATATGTTCTCTAAATATCAGAGGTTTTACAGGGTTATTTACAAAAGGATGAAGAGTCTGGAGAAGGCAGGAGAAGAGAACAATCTAGGACAACATAGCTGAACTGGAAAGTGAGCTGAATTGAAGAATTTTTCCAGTTCAGCTATGTTGTCCTAGATTGTTCCCTTCTCCTGCCTTCTCCAAACCCTTCACCCTTTTATCAATAGCTCTGTTAATGTACTGCATCAGTGAACCCAAATTCTGTATCACTTTCACAAATGAAAGACAGATGTTCTTTCTGCAGAAAACCCATGCCAGGGCAGGTAAGATCCCTAGGTTACATAATAAACACTATACTACCTGGTATCAGCGTTCAAACCCAGTCTCAAAACCTAAAGGAGTGTCAGTAGCTTTTCATAAGTGCTTCTGTCCAGATGCTTTACAACAGTTGGCTGACCCCAGCAGGAGATTTATTCTCCGTAAGATCAAATATTATGGCATGGTATACACATTGGCTAATATATATATTTTACTAACCACTTGCAAGTACTGTTCATCTCCTCCCTCGCCTCTGAGCTGGACAGTTTTGGCCATCGCGACCTCATCTTGGGGGGAGGAACGGGACGACTTCAGCTTAGCTCTTGTCCCATCACTTGATTGTTCTTCCGGTAAAGTCAACAGTTTAATTTGCTTCTCTGTCTAAAGGTTAAGCGGGTTCTTACCAACCTGTGTCCGGTCGACATAGGGCATATTCTCCACCCAGATAAGGACTATACCCATTAAGCTTTTCCCAGGACTCCCTTAGTCAAATTGACTTTTTCCTGATCTCCTAATCATGCCTTGATGCTGCCCTTTCCTCGCAGATTGGTCACTGCATTTGGTTTGACCATGCATACATCTGACTTTGGGCCTATTACGTTTATCCCCTACATCCTTTTCCTGGAGGCTGAATGACCACTTTCATATGAACATTTGTTCACACCCATCAGCCCGATGCCACACACTCCCTTATTCAAAGGGAAGCACTAAAATGTGTCTTGCGCTGGGTGGTTGTACCACACGGAGCTTGGCTCAAAAAAGGAAAGGACCTCTAAACTCAAATCCCTACTACACTGCATATCAAAGTTAAGGCAATACACAATGAGTGACCACTACCCTGCCGTTCTCGTAGACCTTTCCAATGCTAGATGTGAGCTGTTGAGCCTTCTGGATCAACGTTCTCCCATTGCTTAGGATCATGCTTGTACACATTATAATGAATTGACTAATAAACCCAGGACACACCTGGCCATGGTCCTATACCCCAAATCTCCCAATTCTCATTGAACCCACGGGCTGAATACATAATACTTCCTAATCTGGGAAAATATTCCCAATGCAGAAGTTACAGACCTATTTCCTTACTTAATGGAGATCTCCTGGTCGAAAGGCAGGCGACAATACTACTAAAACCATGCATCTAATTTCTCACATTCGTAAGTCAGGGTCACCGTCTTTCCACGCTGAAAAGGCGTTAGATTGTGTCAACTGGAACTTTACGCCTTTCCCTGGAACAGACGGGATTGGGACCTGCCCTTAGATTGCGCATTTTATCCCTTTATTCAAAACCTATGGCCCATGTCTTGGTTAAAGGTGTAAGATCATAATCTGTTTCAATCACTAGCAGCACGAGATGGGGCTGCTCCTTTCCCAGCTTCTCTTGGTGTTTGTAATAGAACTTTTAGCACAAGTCCTCAGGCAAAATGAGTCTATTCACAGTATACGGCAGGATCAGTACAACAAACTCTCTCTCTATATGCCAACAACCTGCTCTTATATATTTGCCAACTGCATGTCAGTCTTCCCTCATTTTCTGAATCTTTGGATGCTTTGAACCTCTCTGTAATTTCAAGATAAATGTACATAAACCTGAAGCTTTGAATATTTCTCTCAGACCACATGTTTTTCCTGCCTACAGAGGAACTTTCCCTTTTCGTTGGCAATCTCAGAGTATCTCATACCGAGGCACGTCAATTCCAGCTAATTTCTCAGATCTTTAGACTTGTTACCATGTTCCATTGTTGATTACCATACATGTTTTTCAAATGATTCCCATTAACTCAGTATGTTCCTTACATATTTCAGGCCATATGGAGACTGGACCTTATGTATCGCTCGCTGTAAACCTAAGTGTTTAGGTGGAACTGGTTTCCCTAATTTTGAATTATATCATAAGGCCGCTCTCCTTTTGCGGATTCTTGGCTGGTTTGCAAAGTATACCAGTGTTTTGTGGTAGTGGAACAAACTGTGTCCTCCCATGATCTTTGCTCGCTTCCTTGGCTCTTGTCCTCCACACTATCCACAACACAGATAACACTTTCTACGATCTGTCTACTGTTCCCTGCCCATTGAAACCTCTGTTTGACAACTTTGTGCTACAGTGGGCCTTGTGGACTGTTAGTCTGGGGGGTTATATTCATTTGATATGGCCTATAGCTAGGGACTTAGTCAATCCAGCTACTGAAGTTTCAGTCCCCCGTCCAACCCCTGGCTTTTTTTACAGTGGCTCGCTTCACGATAACAGGTTTAAAAATCGGCAGACCACTCATTGACTTTGAGAAGCTATGTGTACAATCTAAACCTTTTCAACATACTTTGTCATATATAAATTACTTTCCTCACATGTGAATGTCGACTTGCCCAGATATGTTGTCATTGCACAGGGAATTGGGATGTGGTCTTTCTAATGCTCCTAAATCCTCAGAATAATGCTACAACGCTGGAGAAAAACTATAGAATTGTGTCTCAGTGGTATAGAGACCCTGTCTCACATTTTTCCAGAGACACCAGATACCTCAAATTATTTCTTCTCTCTGGAAGAGCACTGAAACATCCCACCGTATCTCATTGGGTCAATGCCATAATGAGGATGGAGGAAAGGATAGGTATTATGCTACATGGGCAGTCTGGATTCATTACTCCTAATCCGACTCTCTCAGGTGCAAACTGTAATTTAATCATATATCTTTGATTAACTATCGTGGATAATGCATTGTACCCCTAGCAGCTTTATTGTGGAGGTTGTGTAGTCCCTTGCGGGCCTCCAGTCCTCCCAATCATCTTTTCATAGTCTACGTTTTATTTTCTTTCCTTTAGGAGTTCCCTTCTATTTACTCTTTTACTTTTCTTTTTGCGCATCAGAACTTTAAATTGATCTCAGGATGACCCTGGTTTGTAATGTTTGACCACATGGAGATGTAGCCCCCATGACCTTCTGTGATGCGACTACTAGACATTTAGTGGTAGCGAGGGCTGTAGTCAGCCTGGCTGGATTATAGTGGCAATTATCTGGTTAATTCCAGGTGTCTAACATTGCCTGTACCCCCCTGGGTGGAGTGTGACTGTCATATTGTGGGACAGCCAATGAGAGGCACTGTAGTGTAATGTACAGTACAGCAGCCAATCACTGGGCTTCTCTCAGCCAGTGATGCGTGCTGGGATAGGGTACATATACTGGTGGGATTTGCCATGTGCTCAGACTAGCCAGTAACAGCCAGGGAATAGTGCTGGGTCCTGTTCAGCCTGCCCCCCAGGCTAGGCCTGGGGGTGGGCACGGGCTGGTGTGAGGGAAAAGGTTTCCCTGAAGCCTCCAACATGGAGGCCTGTGATGCTGAAAGAGGAAGACCAATGCAGGCTCTTGGAAGTGCCCTGGAACTAAGTGGACTTCAGGAGCATCGTCAACGTCTTTCCTGCTTGAGGATCTGCATCCATCCTGTCAGTCTGCTACATCAGTTGCCATCCGCTGCCTCCCAGGTGGATCTACACTGATATCTACAAGGTCTGGAGCTCTTGTTGGCTACCCCTGGACACCTAGAACTCCTATACCCTCACTCCCCAGTGAAGACATTCAATAAATCGTTACTTAGCATTTTACTACTGGAGTGGACATCAGTTTATGGGCACCAGAAGGGCGGTTAGTGCTAATGGGTGGGCAGCTGAAGAACATACCCTAGACCGACTAGAAATGAACCGGGCATCCAGCGGCTCCCTCGGGGGGGAGCGCTACAGAGAATGAATTGATATCGCCGGTGAAGCATGGTTTACCCATAGTTATTTGATGGAGTTTCCAAAAACTTATGACAACTATGTTCCTTTCATGTGCAGTGTCTCATCCCAATACATTATTGGTTAAAATTTTCAGCATAATATATTGGCATCTTTCAATAAATACGGTTTTAACCATAAAATTCATCAAGTCTTGCTAGTCACCTATGCAATGCAGTACCATGCACTTTGAATGCACATTTCCACAACCAATCACGGTGTGCTTCACTGCCATTAATTTTAAACCCCAACATACTAAACCAATGTGCCTTTGTTGCAACGCACAGCAATGTACTACTTCAGGTTTGCTGAACTGCAAAAAAAAAAAAAAATGAACCTTAAGGAGCCCCTGCACAACTATTTCGGACAAAAAAAACATTACCACCACACACAGACCCTTTCTTTTCATTTATTTTGCAAGTGCTGTACATGGCATAAGTGAATGCTGTGCAAAATTCACAAACAAAAATATAAATTACATTCATTATTTATACCCCCCATATTTTTTACATCAATATTTATTTTCTTGCAATTATTCCAAGCACAAAAGGGAACACAGCACAGCCTCTCGGCCCTCCTGCTCATGCTCCTTCAAGTTGGAAAGTCACATCAGTTTGACGAAACAAAAGCAAAAACTTCCTTTAAAACAGGATTAAATATTTAAATTTCCAAAAACGGAAGCTCCACACACACCAGTTCATGGTGAGCGAAGCAAAGGCTGAGCTCTTCATTTTTTATTCATCTTTCATGAAGGCACAACAGCGTAGGGGGGTGCAGTAGGACATCTAGGGGAAAGAACAGGAAATTAATTGAGTTAGAATAAAATTTTTCACAACAGTTGGCCTATATTTTATCCAACTGTTGGATCTCCATGTCACCATATTGGAAGTCGCCACCTGAAGTTCGACATATCAAGCATCGCACCACCTCAAAAGAGACCCCCCCAACTCCCAAAGCTCAGATACACCCGATTACATGCGAGTACAATCATCTCACACATTCTTCACCCCTCCGCTCTACCAACTTTTATCTGCGCTAGGTCGTCGCGCTTCTTGCTCCTTTTTGTTTCTGCCCTGTTCTAGATACCTACTTAAAATTGTGACTAATATATAATTGTGACTATAAATATAGCACACAAATCGCCCCCTTTTGGGGCTCCAAACCGTCACCACATTGGAAATCTAAAGCAACTTACTCCATTTTGTCCTCTAGTTTATGAATAGTCTGCTTGTCCAGATAACGGCAAAATAAGGAAAGCAAATTGCTTGGGAGGAAAAGCGGCTCCACCATGGAGGATTTGGAGACATGAGAGAGCTCCTTTGCTACAAGGAACACTGTATCTGTCCTGAGGATTAAGAGACAAAAATGGAAACTGTTCACATTCCAAGAAAACAAATAGAAAAGGTTTGTACTTTGAGCTACAGAGTGTTTGTTTAAAGCCAGATAAAAAAAAAGCAAAAAGGAAAGCAACGAAAATACAGAGATTGTGCGTTTCCAATAGTTCTTTGAATTTGGAAAATGATGAAAGCCCTTAGCAAGTTCACCAGTTTCTGGTTCTCCGTGGCCACAAACAGTTTTGTTTAGTATGCCATAGAATTTACACAATATTCAGAAACATTGGTGGCTGCAACCTTTCAAAGACTCCCTTCTACCAAGTGCAGAATTGTTTTTTCTTTTTTAAGTTTACCTGAATGCCTCATTCACACAAAAAAAGGCCGTCAAATACAGCGTTGTGCACAGCCATATCGGGCAGCTCCCAGGAAGGACAGGTGCTTCTCCATGGGAGCATGCGGCCGTACGCCGCCCTACACGTCTGTGCTGGTGTCCGTACTCTTATGCCGACAAGATGGATCCTGTTCTTCGTCCGAGCCAGGACACGTGTACAGACCTGCACTTGGGTTGAGAGTAGGGTGGCATATGGCCACGTACTCCCATAAAAAAAAAAAGAAAAAAAAAAAAAAGAAGAACAGGGCCTGCATACTAATCACACGCAGCACCTGTCCTTCCCGGGAGCTGCCCGATACGGCCGTGCACGCAGCATGGACCTGTACGTGCCGGCCTTTTCTCGTGTGAATGAGCCCTAAAGCTTAGGCTCAACAAGAATTTATGGTGCTCTAGAATGGATATTGGGGGTTTACAAAAACCCCACCAGTTTCATCCATATATTTTTTGAGACCTGAGCAGCAAGACCTCAGATACACAGCTTATCATCTCAATTCAACAAATTGTAAAAAATGATTCAGATTTTTCTGGCTTTAATAAAAAAATATTGAAAAATATTGCAGCCAGGAAACACAGTCCTCTTTTTATAGTTGGGAATGAGCAGCTCTAGAACCCACAGTAGAAAGTTCTCACCATTGCAGTCACCAGAAGATGGGAGTAGGCAGCAAGCCTTGCCAATCACCAGTACCCATCTATAACTAAATCACTATAGGGTACACTAGCCCTTGGAGTATATGTAAAGACGCAGCAAAAAGAAGTGCCCCACAGGGTTACACAAGGACAGCAACTTCGTAGAAACTCATTACCATTTTTCAAAGTCCCCAATGCACGGCTCCATTGGTGTATCAGAAGACAAGAGGCTCTCTCCATGGCTCAGTAATGCATACAACAGGGAGATTCCAAACTAGATAAAAAGGGCAAAAGAAACAATTTTCACAGAAGCAAAGTAGTTTTACATTGATAATCCACAAATCAAGAATCATTTGACCCTTTTATGATTGCAGAGACCAAGTTTAGCAGTGTCCGTTAACGCAACATTAACCCTCTGACTAAAAATTTGTCTGTTCGACAGGGCAGAACTAGGAAAAACAAACACACAGCTGCACATTCTAAGTTCCCTGCTGTTAAGTTAATGTTCTCCCAGCAAGGGACATTTTACATTTGGAGTTGTATTGTGGACGTGAAGAGTTAAGTGTACGTAAAACCAAAACCGTTAAAAAAAAATCCAGCGGGACACAGACAAAAAGGAAGACGTGGAAAGGCTTTTAACACTTTCAGACTCCACCCCACACACACCAACAAATATGTTTCTTTTTACAAATACTTTAAAGGAAACAGAAAATGGAAGACCACCATTTTGGACTTATTCTACAAATCCAGATAGGGCCTTTAATTTCAGTGCCAGGGAAAACTAAAAGGAAACATTACCAACAGCAACAAAGTACTAAAATGCCTAACAGAAAAAGACTTGATACATTCAGACATGCAGTAAAAGCTCTGCAATACTTACACTTTTTACTAGGGATGCACCGATACAAGCATCGGTATCGGCCGCGATACCGAGTATTTGCATGGGTACTCGTACTCGTGCAAATGCTCTGATGTCCAAAACGAGTACCTGTGTCCGCCATCTTCCACCGCCGCACACAGCACACAGGACCACGTCTGCATTCATGCAAGATGGCCGCGATCTCCTTCTCCACGGGCGAACGGCCGAAAGCAGACTCCGCCTTCAATTCCTCTGTCCTCACTCGTGATTGGTGGGGAAGCCTGTCAATCATCCAATCGGCCAATCAGCGTGAGAAGAGGCAATTCCTCTGTCCTCACTCGTGATTGGTGGGGAAGCCTGTCAATCATCCAATCGGCCAATCAGCGTGAGAAGAGGCCGGCATTGACAGATGACTAGGCTGTGACACGAGGGGATGAAGCAGACGGAGACGACGGAGAAGAAGGTTAGCAGCACTGCTGGGGCTGGGCACAGGATGGGGGGTGGGCACAGGATGGCCTCAAAAGTTATATTTGGCTGCTGTAGGTTTATAAATTTTTAAAAAATGCACTACTGCTTGCTATTCTATTTGGATGAGGCAGAGCACATGTTCAGCATAAAAAACAGGATGGCATAAAAAAAAAAAGTTATATTTGCCTGCTGTAATGCAATTACTAATTGCATTACAGCAGGCAAATATAACTTTTTTTTATGCCATCCTGTGCCCAGCCCACACCTGTAGTGTGGCACAGTTATATCTAATTCTGCATCCCTGGCTGTATATTATACATTAAAAAATGTAATATACAGCCAGGTATGCAGAATTAGATATAACTGTGCCACACTACAGGGGTGGACTGGGCACAGGATGGCATAAAAAAAAGTTATATTTGCCTGCTGTAATGCAATTACTAATTGCATTACAGCAGGCAAATATAACTTTTTTTTATGCCATCCTGTGCCCAGCCCACACCTGTAGTGTGGCACAGTTATATCTAATTCTGCATCCCTGGCTGTATATTATACATTAAAAAATGTAATATACAGCCAGGTATGCAGAATTAGATATAACTGTGCCACACTACAGGTGTGGACTGGGCACAGGATGGCATAAAAAAAAGTTATATCTGCTCCTTTAAAAAAAAGTATCGGTAATTGGTATCGGCGAGTACTAAAAAAAAAAAGTATCGGTACTCGTACTCAGACCCAAAAAAGTGGTATCGGTGCATCCCTACTTTGTGCCATTTCTTAAAAATTGATCTTTCAGAAATTTGTTGTGGTTCTAACTTCTAATCTGAAAGCACACTGCCTTTGCTGCAATGAAATCCCATGCAGTCTCGTCAGCCCTGACTGTGGGACTTCAGGATGCTACCTCTCTGTTCCACTCCCCAAGTGCAAAAATTTTAATGGATTTCCATTCCAGGTAAACAATGCTGCTGCCCTGATTCTCAAGGGCCTGCTCACACACTGTATGGGGAGAAGAATCATGGACGATGTAGATTTAAAGCCAGGTCTATGACAATAGGAACCGACCTCCTAGCAAGCGATCCCTGCGAGAATTTTGGCAGCATGGTGATGATGCAACAGGAAGTAAGCAGTTTCTTGCTACAGAAAAAAAAAAAATGCTGGGGCATGCTCTAGAGGAGCAGAGAGGTTTGGTGATACATTTGGGGAATACCTGGACATAGCTTTAAGTGTGAAAAAACATGCACCATGTGTGGTCCCCGATTACACAGGTCAAATGGAAGTTATTGGTCACATTTTCAGATTATTGCATGAATGTTTCAGCTTTATAGACAGTGTTACAGAAAGTAAAATGTTGTCAGTACTCCAATAGCAGAAAAACTAAAAAATTCTCAAATACCTGGTTCTGGAATGCTAACGTGAGTGGCAAATCTAGGCTCTCCGGCAAAGGCCTGGTAAGTTCTTGAATTACTCGGATCAGCTCAGTGAATGGCAGCCCATTAACTATAGATGTCAGAGGTCTGTAGAGTACTGGAAGGGACTGCAAAATAGAAGCGATTCATTTATGTGGCAGACCATCAACCCTTTTTTCCCCTGGGCTACAAGGAAATTCTCTCAGTAAAGTGCAACATTTTATGTTCCACCTAATAGTTAAAGCCCTGTATAGTCACTATATTTGGCATCCAATACTGTGTACTATATATGCCAAAAAAAATAAAAAGTTAAACCAAACAAACTTCACAAAAGTAAAGCGAAGAAAAAAAAACAAAAACACCTTATCAATAGCATGCAGACAATAAAGATACATGATAAAGATTCCAAGCCTTTCCTACTCCTGGCAGGTAAGCAGACACATGACTTCCACTGGAGAAGAAAGCTTGTACCCTTATATTTCCCGTAATCTCCATTCTTAGTACTTGTACAGTACAGACAGTAACAGTGCCACATAATACCCATTTGGCAATTAGCCAAACCCCACATTTTTACCTTTTCAGTGGTGTCATTGTTTATGAGGTAGGACAAATGCTGTACAACAGTCAATAGGATTTCCACCGCCTGTTCGCTGTGGAGGAACTGAAGGAGCCGAGCAACTAACTTCTTCCCCTTCCCAACCTGAAGAATCTGCAGAAACTCATCCTCTGATTCACTAAAGAAAATGAAGTTTATTATATTTTGTGGTCATGCAAGTTCTACACAGATACATACTCATTACACAAATGGCTCAGCAGTTCCTGAAATACATTTGTGGGACGAAATTTCGATCGACATTCGTCAAGTGTCTTAATGACATTATCAGATGGCAAAGAAAGATCTTCTGTACAAACGTTCATTTTGAAATCTACTAGTGTATGGCCAGCTTAAGGGTCTTTTTACAATTTATTGTAAAGCCAAAAAATTTTAACTCGAGAGGGTTTAGGGATGCAGGATACCCAAAAGCACAAACCTAACGGGAGGATAGAATATCTGAAACTGCAACAGCATCAGGTCCTATAAGAGCATCCTCCAAAAATACTGATAGAGCAGCCAGGTATATCTATGACCCTGTAAAAAGCAGTCAGTCCTTGTAGTGCACCAAATGGCTTCTGTTACCCCTGTATGATGCCTGGATCCAAAAGGTGATGAATGTCCAGACAGCAGCTTCTACCCAGCTCCTCTGCAACACTTCAGCTTTTCCAGCCCAGCTTCCATCAGGTATTCACTCCAGAAGTAACACACCCCAGAGGCCCCAGCACATGGTTCATGTAGAGGCCAGGCCCGACAACACATCCACACTTGGGCCTCCCCCAAGGGAAGAGAGCCTTCTGGAATGTGGTACCCCACATATTCATCATCTCAGCCATACCTATGAGTTACCTCCTCAGGGATTGGTTGAGTCACGATAAATATTCATAATAACCCTCCTACACTATGCTGGAGCCCCCTCCTAGTAACATGTGGAATTAATTAACCCACCAGACTTAAGGTACCCATACACTGCAAATTTCGCACAGTGCCTGCCGCTGTCGGCACCCTTTCGGCGTCAAAGAAGCTGGCTGGAAAATCTTCGTACGACCAGAGCCGGCAGCTAATGAGCTGCCGCCTCTGGTCGGGTAATCTGGCAATGGCCGGTGGCCAATGTCAGAATACAATGCAAGCAGCGGAGATACCTTGGACACTCAGTGTTGGAGAAATCTGCTTCTTTTTTTTTCCGTTGAGCGCATTGGGTTGACCAAGAAAAATAGAGCAGTGTATGGGCCAGCCTTAGGGAAAACCTGCAGAACATTGAAATATACATGCTCGGGCTGGTTGCAGTTCAGCAATAAGCACACTAAATTTGGTAAAAGACAGAGAAGGCAGGGTTGCTACAAAATGCATGCTTAAATTGTTAGCCGGCAAGCAAGGTTTCCTCCCTGATTAAAGTTTAGAAGCCCAGTAAAAACAACCTAAGCTTTTCAGATTCAAGGAACCCCAATTATGGCTTCATGCAAAGAAAAAAAATAGAGCGCAGAAATCCAACAATGAGGACAGCCACATGCAAGCGGGTTTAGGGTGTAGCGGCTTCACAGAGGGAATCACACGTAATGGTCTTTTGAACAAGATAACGTTTATTACCGGAGAGCCGGTAGTAGGAAGAATATTTACAATAGTAAGGTCAGCAGTTTCACTCCAGGCATGGAGACACAGGTACACAGTACCGTCACTTCTGATATGAACGGTAGTAGTATTCGTTAGCACCATCCCACTAACTGGCAAAGTACAAATCCAATCACACAAGGTGTATCTGTAAATCTGCTGATATTTATAAAGACATGCAAATGCATTTGTAGAGCAAGGTAGAGTTTTTAAGAAACAGGTTTTAGTTCCTCAAAAACCCTGCAGGAATCCTGAGAATTCTCTTAAGCGATTGCCACTTCTGCCTTGCAGCACTGGGGGCCGCACCCCTCGTGGACAGGGACTGATGTGAATCTACAGTATGCTTAGCAGTGGGCAAGTTGTCTGTGCTATATAATATGGTCTTAGACATAGAGAGAAAAAATGTACAAAAATGAAAGTCCATTCTGTTATACAGAAACTGCCACAGTCTACGAGCAATTCCTACAATGCAAGCCATGGTGTCTTCTGGATAATGCTGTAGAGATCAATAATAGCAGTAGATGGTAGTCATGAAAGCAAGCTCTACTCCTTACAGCACTTTTTGCTTAAGCAAGCAAACTACGAACATTTGTGAAGCACAGAGCTTTGCTCTACAAATGTGCCAGGAGATTGGCTTTACACACGCGCAGGGTTGTCTAATATTGCTTGGACAAAACATTTTCTTGGCCCCTCTACGCCTCCTATCCGCCACTCCCCACCCGTCATGCAATTTTGCAAAACATTCTCCTACTGCCGAGCAGATCGGGGGAGACGTCAGAGGGAGACGTGATCTCGAGGGTCAGGGGCGTAGCAATAATATACAATACTGATAGCATAGTAAACAGAATGGTGCCACTTGTGTATGTTTTGCAGGCTCAAGGAGCAGCTGCTTAGGACCCACAACAATGACTGGGCCTGGGACAACTACCGCTTTTGCCCAGCATTAAAGATGGCCCTGCACACACATTTGTATATGCTGCTTTGAAATTCCAAGACTGGATATTCCCATTTGGTTGATGCTCATAAGGCAAATTGTGCTGCTAAAAAATAATAACACCTTGTACAATCCTGTGGATAAAAGAAATGGATTACATTACACTTGGAAGGGGAGGCAAGAAATTGCACTCAGAACTCACTCTTCCCAGCTGCACAATCCAATCTTCAGCGCTTCATAGATGCTTTGCACTTTGTAGTTCTGTTTTTGTTGGTAGCGGATGTGTTGGTCTTCAGGCATTTGAGGCATTTTCCTTTCTACCTCCTCCACTTCCAGCAACCTTATAAAGAGCTGAAACCGAGAAAAAAAAAAATGACCCTTCTCCAAGACACATATGCATGGTTTACCAGCGGCACAAAATGACACCTTGGAGTACGAGCTCAAAATACATTACAAATACTGAATAGTCATTTTAAAACATTGATAATGAATACTGAAAATGGCAATCACCCTTTTGGTTTCACAGAGCTGAGCACGCACAGCTCCGTGTACATTCTACAGAAGCATGCATAGGCAGGTAACAGTGTATTAGTGAAATAGGATGCGTTAGTGGAATTTAAATGTTTTAAAATTGAACATTTGCAGGCAGGTTTTTAAGGCCTGCAAGCTTTTGCAAAATTTTACAAAGCTTCAAACAACTTTGAAGACTTTAATGCAGCAGTCCCCAAATGAAGAGCAGCGGGTTACTACGAAGAGGCCTCCTCAATGGGAAGGGCTTGCAGCTGCTGAGCATACTGGGCACTGGTTCAAGCAATGGGTATCTTACAGGCACCCAGCAACCTCACAGGCACTATCGGGTGGAGAGATCTCTTGCCCGATGGTGCCTATATTGTCCCGGCTGTGGCATCACAATGAGGAGTGGCAAGGGACATAGAACCTACAAGGAGGTATGAGCCATGGAGGATGTCTGGGGCATTTATTCCTCCCACTGAAAGGTACATTTAGTCCCACAGATACAGGGGTATTTTACATCCAACGAAGTGCTGACACAGGGGCTTTTTTTATGCCCCCCACATGTTGGGGAATTTCACTCCCGCTGATACAAGATACTCCTACTGGCCATAGTCTGACCACCAAACAGTCTGACAGATGAGAAGGGTGTAAAGCCTGTGCATACAAGGAGCTGCTCCCATGTATTCACATACAGTTTGTAAGCAATTACAAATCAGACCTACAAACAAGGGTTTCAAATACTAACATACACTGAAATTATTTACATCTAATGCATCTTTCTCATGCATCTTAAAGCCCATGTCCACCTTTGCAGAGGTATTTTTAAAAACATATGCCAGGCAAATGTACACCGAGTGTACATAAGGCAGGCATATGCAGTTGCTGTACATGAATATAGAAACTTCGTTTTTTGTTAGCTTTCCTCTTCCTAGCTGCATGGAAATGGCCACCTCTGCAAGCATTCTGTGTATATTACAACTGAGCCCCCCCATTCATTAGAATTCATAGTGGCAACCCCCCCTGGACAGTGTATGGTGTGTAAAAGCACACTGTAAAGCAGCTGTTTAGAGCCTGCTTTACACAGTGTCAGACTGAATTTCCTGTGGAGAAAATTCTAAATTTCTCAGATTCGGGCCTAATAAAAAAATAAAAATAAATGTTTTAATTAATAAAGCGTGCAAATGTAAGTCATGAAAATGTACACATACCCCATCACTACACCTCTACATTACCACAATAAATGCCACTTACAAAAAAATGTAAGTCTATACATTACCTTTTTACCGAAACGCTATTGCAGAAAACTAAAACATGAGTTGATTACCTGATAACTCTGTTTCCAGGAATCTTCCAGGACAGCCATCGAGATATAGGCTCCGCCTGCCTGCAACAGGAAACACATCACCCACATTAAATAAATAGACTCCTCCTTCCATCCAAAGTCAGTAACCTCTAGGACCGAAGGCTACCCCATGCACAAAAGTATCCCCTCCTTCATCCAACCACGGATGCCACCTGGATACACACCAAGGGAAGCAGGGTAAGGCTCAGCCCAAAGGCAAACAAACATGAGCCCTAAAAATAACAAACATTACGATGTCCCTGTGTAGCCGGCGGAAACACACAAAAAACTGACTTGGGATGGAAGGAGGAGTCTATTTAATGTGGGTGATGTGTTTCCTGTTGCAGGCAGGCGGAGCCTATATCTCGATGGCTGTCCTGGAAGATGACTGGGGAAATATACACACAGACTGAATTGAATTTAGCATTTTAAAACAGAATACACAGGAAAAAAATTTTTTACAAAATAATTGGACTAGCCTTTTCAATGTGTCGGAGGACCCTCACCCTCTGGTAACCAAGGGCTTTAATATCCTGAAGAAAAATGCCAAAGGATTATTACTTCTTTCACAAAGTCATATGCAAATTAAAGTAACACTAAACTCAGGAGTTAAATCTTAAAAATACATACAAGTCCCTAACTATTAACAGTAATGCATCTTATTTGTGTATCACTCGGCTGTAGATCCTCCAATCATCTCTGAATTGGTGCCAACACTGCACTTCCTTCTGGAGGGTGGCTACTTCTGTTCCCCATGGTGTGCGTGTTGTAGAGTAGTCACCGCTCCAAGCTCGGTCCCGTGATGGTCTACAATCTCAATAGAAATTAGTAGACTAAACGTGAGATTGTAGTCCATCACAGGATCGATCTTAGAATAGTAGCGATGTTAGTGTCAATCACCACTCTCCGCAGAGATTGCCCCCTCGCCTCTGGTGCTGCTGACTATGGGTCAGAGATTACATTAATACATTTACTCCTGTGACCAAAAAGAGAACTAAAGCCAAAAAAGGTTCGGCTATAATTCTCTTTTAAGAACAAGGCAGCAATGGCAGGTCTGTTTTGACAATTAACCCTTTAAATGTACATTTGGCTGTGTAAGCAGCCGAACTCTGGGCAGCACAGTGGCGTAGTGGTTAGCGCCTCTGCCTTGCAGCACTGGGGGTCCCCGGTTCGAATCCCAGCCAGGTCACTATCTGCAAGGAGTTTGCATGTTCTCCCTGTGCTTGCGTGGGTTTCCTCCGGGTACTCCGGTTTCCTCCCACACTCCAAAGACATGTAGACAGGTAGGTTAATTGGCTCCTCTCTAAGTTGGCCCTCTATGTATGCATGCGAGATAGGGACCTTAGATTGTAAGCTCCTTGAGGGTAGGGACTGATTTGAATGTACAACTATGTAAAGTATGTAAATTGTCTGCGCTATATAAATAATAAACTCTGGCAAACGATTAGAACCTTAAAAGATAATCTGCAATACAAAAATCTATAGGCATCACCGGAGTAAAGGCGACAAGCACCAGTAAAACCAAAACCATGGGTCAGAAAAGAGGAGCCTATGAAATGTAATAAGCAACTATGACTGCCCCCTATTCTGTACATCATTGAAAATAACACTAATATATAATAACACTATATATATATATCATAGGTAGCAAATTAAGTTAAGAGTCCAGCTAACTTTTGCGTACTTTTACAATTCACATCAATAAAAGCATGTCAAGTATACTTGCCTCATCTGGCATTACATAGGAAATGGCATCTATCGCTCTCCTAGGACTGTAGCAGGTTGAAACTGCCACCTGTCCAAGAGAACCTTCAAAGTGAACCACTAAAAAAAGAAATAAGGAAAAAAGCTAAAAAGGAGTTGTAAAGACCCAGCATATCCTCTCCTGTTATAACATCAGCATAGAGTTGGTTTTCATAATGCATAAACCAATTGGGTCAGGTAGGGTTTTGGCCTCACCTGGTGTGAGCTTCGTACATTGGTCCTTCTGGCTGCAGGCAGCAGAGCCGGATTAACAAAAGGGGCGGGTGGAGCCCCTGCAAATAGGCCGACACTGAGTTGCAGCCGGGCCAAGCTGGCCATGCCGCGGCGGCCCTCTATTCAGGCATATCAGAGGGCCCACTGATGTGCCTGAGCAGACAGCCACATCTGCTGCGGCTGCAGGCACTAGCCTCACTGGCCCCTCAGAACCCCCGCACAGCTCTCTAAGACCCTGTAGACAACAGGCCGTGAACCTGGAGCAACACAGTATGAAGCTTCATATTATTCTGCATTGCTGTATAAAGTATTGCTGGGATTTGTAGTCCTCTATAGCCGATTGTATTCTGCAGTGCTGTATCATTTATTGCTGGGATTTGTAGTCCTCTATAGTTGGCGGTATTCTGCATTGCTGTATAATGTCTTGCTAAGATTTAGTCTCTCTACAGCTTGGAGTCAGTGGCAGGTCGACTAGGGTTGCAGCTGCAATCGGGCCCTGGTTCTCCACCACTGACTACAAAATCACAGCGCAGACAGGAGGAAGAGGGGCCCGTTGACTGTTGCCATTTTCATAAAAAGGCCCACCAAAATCCTCAGCACCAGGCATGTGATGCTCTTAATCCGGTCCTGGCAGGCAGCCCCTAGTTTTGCTCACATTAAGCCTGTTTGCCATTGCCCAGCTCTCATTTGGACGGTTTATGGATTTGCCCACATACTGCATCTCTTAATAGACAAGAAAACAACAACAACAAAAAACACAACCAGGCATGTTTATAAGCATCATACCAGATTCATAGGTTTCTGCTTTCTGGATATAAGGCGTAACAAGTTTAGGAGGTTCCTTCTTTTTGCGTTCACCCAAAAGTTCTTCCTCAGCCAACCGCCGCTCCAGCCTCTCGTAGTAAGTCTGCATATGTTCATTAACATTTTCAATCCCCCCCAAAAAAAGGACAAAAAAAAAAATAATGACTGATGTAAAAAACACTGTTTACAATCATATCTCTGCCATTTAATCATATGGGCATTTCAAGGACAACTATAGCAAACCTACCATAGCAATATCATGGTCTTTCAGGGCTGGATTTAATCGCTCTGCTGCCCCAAGGCCAGGTTTGGGGGGGATGGGCGAGCAGCCTGCACTGTACATTTTGCTCTGCAAGCCCAAAAAAGGGCTAAAAGTAGAAAACAACCACCTGCCTGGCACACAGAACTTCATGTCCCAAGTGTGGGGCAATAGGAGTCCCTGCCACCTCGAGGCCGAGCCTCGGGTGGCCTTGTGGGAGCCCTGGCTGCACTTTTCCCCCCTCTTAATTTTTACCTGGCGATTATACCAGTAGCAAATTTCCTGTCCTAGGGTGACAAGACAACACTAATTTACACCACTGTTATTTTTGTAGTAGCATATTAACTCTAGTCTGCTCTCCTAATCTGGACTACAAAAATACCCCCTCCTCTCCATTATTGAAGGATCAAAGGTTTTGTAGTTCACAGGAGATGGCTGTGAAAGCAGATATTTCATTTCCGTGAACGCAAGTAACAAAGATGCTGGATTTCTGGCAAAACCAACTGGTATTTCCTGTACTTGCAGAAAATCTACTTGGCCTTTAAAAAAATAAAAATTGAGCACAAGAACATGGACTGTCCACATGTGTTTTGCCTAGAGACATTTAGTTAACTTTACCCAATTTAAACAGTCAGAGGAGACAGTCCTAGGTTTATAAGCACTCCTCATCGTGGCCAGGCGACCCTAGCTAAAAGGTGGCCAGACACCTTACAACCATTGAACAACTTTTTTGGTCCAGACATCGCACCCTCATTCAATTTTTATTTGAATAGCCCATCATGCACAGGCCAATGTAGTTTGTGATTATCGCGCGGCATCACTACTAACTGTCCGAATTTTGTAGATGGACAGAACAGACGTTGGTATAGCGCATGTTGGTATAGCGCATGTGCAGTTTTCATCTTCCAATTTTTGTTGTACGGAAACGCCACTGATCCGTTAATTTTTTTCCCCAACTTGACAAAGTTTTCTAGTCTGCCTGAAAGATGAAGCCGGTTGTACAGTGCAATTGCGGTTGTGCACTTCCCATCAACTAGCCGATCAGATGAAACCGCTAACTAAAAGGTGTATGGGCATCTTAAGCAAGAATTATTTTTTATTTCCTGGCACTAGGGTTGTCTAAAACCTTCCAAAAAGCCTCTACAGGCATACTCCAATTCATCTCTCAGAATAAAACAAGTTCTCTCATTTTTCATAAAGTGCATTTTGCAGCATTATGCCAAGCTACCAAAGTTACCACCAACTGCATGGCTACCAAAAAATTCCAATACTTCAGCAAATTCAACAAAATCAAATGGTTTGGCCAGGCCTCACTTTCAGTGTTTCTTTATATATTACAGGAACCAGCACAAGCTACTAAGCTATACTGCATGCGATTTGTAATTGACTGGAGCAGATGGCCAAAACTGAGAAATACGATCCCTTGCGTAGTGTAAAAATGTTGGCAGGGGACACAACTCTGTTGATTTTTCAAAACTGCAATAGCAAGTCTGGGTGGAATTGGCTGTTAAAATCGTCATCTTCACCTGGTAGTAATAGTCATCTAGATGCGGGTTTTCACTTTGTAGCTGGATCATTTGCAGTTTGATCACCCATTCCTTCTCCTTCAGAGACATCAAACTCGCATAAGGATCAGATCTGCTATCCCACTGCTTACGGCTAGAGCTGGAAAAGAAAAAAGATTTTACAGCTAGAGAAGATCATATTGGATGGCCTATATTACCAATACTGAAGGTTGTGTGGTGAAACCTTCAATCGCCAGACTGGGAACCAAACTTCACAAATTAAAGATTCAATTTTGTCACAATACTGTAAATCGCCGGATCAAACAACTTTAGAGAGCAAGGACTGGATTGGGTTACAAAGTGATTTATTGGACAGCCTCCAAACAGACATTTTAAAAAAAGTTAAGCATCCTTGCTACACTTTCTAGTAATGGGCATCCTACAAATATCGATAGGCAAGGGCCCATTTAGACACTGCTTGAACAGTCCATAATGGGTTACAAAAAAAATAAATCATCCTAGCTATTCCTCAGTTTGAACAAGGTTTTGTGGTTGGATGACATTAACTTCGATAAATGTACACGGTATTCTTTTAAAAGAAATTAAGACACTGCATAACACCATAAAAACTAGGGTTGCACAGATACCAAGTACAGTACTCGGTACAAGTACCTATACATTTCCAGCTCCAAGACTACACTAGAGAAAAATTCAAAAATTAGGAGGCAGCTGTCATTTGTAAGGAGCACACGGAGCTCCTGGGATTTGTACATTTGTTTTAATGTACGATGTTGTTTTTATAAATATAAAGGGATGCACAGATACCAGTTTTGCGAGTATGAGTACTGATACTTGCCGAGTACAAGTACTGATAGATTTTTGTTTATCGTCATGTGACGGTTTTTCTAAAACAATACAGACTAAAGATTTCAGGACAGTGGTGGAGTGCCAGAGCCAGGTCCCAGCTGCAACCCTGGTAGTTCTCATGAAAATGCCAAGTATCTGCACTGGTACTCGAAAAGTATCTGTGCAACCCTAAAAAAAACCTCACCCATGCTGTGAAGCAATTTAGGGAATACAATTCTGTAGGACTACTTTGCAGTTTCTGGTCCTAGACTGCTTGCAGTCATTAAGGTCCCTTCACACTTATGTGTCTTTTAGGCTGTTGTGTGGAGCGTGCCCATTTTAGTGGGTCCTCATACTTCGATGAAAATGTAGTCACCTAATTTTTCTCCCAGTACAGTTCAATCCCCCCCGCTCCTCATTTTTGTTTTTCCACTCTGAGGCAACTATTTGTGTTAAGAGGCATCTTGCCATGTAGGTGCTTTAAGGGTGCTAATAAAAATGACAACGCAAAGCGCATACCCAATGAATGAATGGGGACTGAAAGCATTATTTTAAAGTAGTATTATACTCTTAAAAACTGGTTTTCAATAACAGATTCAGAACACAGAAATATACATTGCCCAGCAAAGTATTTCTTTATGCTTTTGCCCAAGCTCTTAGTCATGTTTTGGAACAGCTCCAACTCTCTCTTCCATATCCCCCTCAGCTTACAGTCCAGTAAAACATCACAAGGGGCAGACTTTTCCAACAGCTGTCCATCTACTGGGTGGAGAAGGGATGAAGGAGGAAGGGGGAGGAAGTGTCTTGCTTGCTAGGCTTGTGTGTTTGTGGAAAAACACACAGCTTGCACACACACAGCTCCATGGGACAAGAAAAAGGAGCAACCCCAAAACATGAGGGCCAGTGCTCAGGGGGCCATTGGATTCTATAAAATGCAAAAAAAAAAAAAAAAAAAAAAAAAAAAAAAACTTTCAACATTTGAAACAGCTTAAACATTTGACTAATATTTTTTTTTTTTTTAAAAACCATAAAAACCACTGAGTTATAACTCCATCTTCTGCACGATTTCATAAAAAGTCATGAAGATTTCAGAAGGGTACAGTAAACACTACAAGCAAAAGTTCTATAGTGTAGCCAGATCAGTAGAGAGTTGGTGCAGAGAAATCACATCAATCACTCTGCACTGATTTAATAAGTTAGTTAACTCATCTTATTTATGGTACCCCTTTAGTCACCCCCCCACAGTAAAGGATCAGCTGCAGGGAGACCACATGCATTATTGATCCTTTGCCCTCTGCCTGCCTTTGTTTTGGGCACAGCTTTCAGAGTTTAGTTTCTTAAAGTTCTACACTTGAGTAACCTATTCATAAATGATAGAGATCAGATTAAATAGCTCACTGTCCGGTGTTTGCTGACCATACACAGCTATGTAGGGCAATAGGTTTGCAACAAGACCTTGATGATGAAGTTGAAGCGTAGCCAGCAACATGGCAGAGGAGTTTCAATCTAGAAAAATTTAAATGGGAGCCAACAAGGTGCATGCAAAATACACTGTGGGGTTCCACTGGGGAAAATCAGAGATGGAAAAAGATCTAGAGGTAATTTGGGAAATGCAAATTGGAAATACAGTAAAACTTTGAGACACACTCAAGGGAACAAGAAATTGGAGGTGGTACGGTATATTCTTAAAACTGCACAAGGTTTTTTGTTTTACTGTGAAAACGGTAAAATGTGGAATACATTTGTGCAGATAGCTATATCAGCAAAAAACATGAACAGCATCAAAAACCACTTGGATGAGTTTCTCAGTTTACAGATTATACAGGGTTATGGGAATTGCTAGCATCTCACACACACACACACACACACGTGTCTTTTTTCAACCTCACCAACTATGCAACTACTTCAACTCAACCCAACACAGCAGCCCTGACAAACTGCATTAGAACAGATTAGAAGATTTTTAGTCTTACCTTTGAGGGCGTTGTCGTTGACTTAGAATTCTGCGATGTTGGGGATGCAGCTGTGTTACATGTCCAGGAACCCTAATGAATAAAGGACTACAATTAAAAAGTACTTACTGTGAAAAGTAAGCATTTTGACAGAAGCAAACCCAGTTCCAACAAAATCAAATTCCAATTTAAAGACCACCACACACGCACTATAGAACCTGACCTAGATGTTCCTGCACTCCAGAAGTACCTGAAAATGGCAGGGCCATCACTGCCAGACAGTCACCAGATGCTTTAGCAAGTAAACACAGTCAGAGGAATGTACCATTAAAGAAAATGGTACACCTACAGGTTGGTGAACCAATGCCTTTCTATGTTGTACAGTGCTTCTTAAAATGGGGAATGGAGCAGGAAGTATTTAGGCAGCTTTCATGATAGGAGGAGCTTTAGCAAGTGGCTATGTAAATAGAGTCAACACATACGGGTAGTTAACCAACTAGGGTACCCTTCTACATTGTAGAGTGCTTCTGACATTGGGGGTGGTGGCAGGAGGTATTTTGGCAGCTTAATGGAGGAGAAAGCTTTACCAGTGTTCTAGTGCCCCTTTATAGCCCAATGAGCAAACAAGTATGGAATTGGTGTAGGGATCCACAGAGCTGTAGGAAACTAATAGTGACCTCTCCTACTAGCCAAATAAGTTCGCTATATAAAATTAGGCAAGTTGCAAAAGGTATATTAACTGTACATAGCACGTGAATGATTTGAGCTAACAAACAAGTAGATCTTCCATCGATTACACACAGGAGTCAAGAGATCCCCAGCTGCCATATTACTGCACCAATCATGACTGTTCAGCTTAAAATTGATAGAATGAATGCATCCTTACAACAAGAAAAATCCATGTAGCTCTGCTGATGTTACTGCATGGTCACTGCCTTTGTTCACTTATAACAGATATCTCAATCAATTGCCAAATTCGTGGTCTTATATGAACAGCTAAAAGGATTGAAAACTTACCTAAATCTCTGGAGTGTGTTGCCTAGAGGGCTAAAGAATGGAGACATGCTGGGACTGGGAGACATTGGACCAAACTGCATCCTGACCATCTTCGGGGTCATTGGTCTAACAGGGGTGCTGATGTTAGGAGACATTGGTCTGAAGGGCGTCTGGGACAAAAAACCTGGAGACTGAAGAAAAAAAAAAAAATAAAGCCCACAAAAGAGATTGTACTCACTATTACATCTGCAAATCACACAATTGCTATAGAGACATTGGTATTTTAGTGTAAGACCTTTTACTTTTCTTCTCCACCAGGTGTAGATCACTCCTCCTACCAATGTACCATGCAATGTGACCCACCTGCTCCAGGAAGGCCTTAAATGGATACCTGTTTTTCAGACTATACCAGTGACCATCATGATGGAGTTAATGACCAGCAGCAAGCATGCAGTTAGTGAAGTCAGAACTATGTACATACTTGTTCCCGTAACAGTAAATTAGAAAATATTGATACCTTTGGATCAACCCAACATGCAGGCCAACATCCTTCAAGCAGTTATGTGGCAACATGAACAAAAGATGACCTTTATGAGCACCCGCGTCAGTGTTATATGGTTTCTCCCAACCCCTGTAACTACCAATTTTGCTGGGCAGCTTGGCCTTTCACAGGAAGTAGAAATCAATGATCTACACGCAGGAAGGTATCAACAGGAATAAAACATTACGAGAGGAAAGCCAAACTGCTATGTTAAAGTTCATGACATACTGCATCATAAAGAGCATTTTGTTTTCTGCTCATAATTTCACTTTAAGCAATGGCAGTCAGCATTCTTTCTCAGTGCAGGTTTCCGTCAAATAAGGTCCCCAGTTTCCCTCCAAATCGCAAAATGCTGCTTTTATGCAACTGTTCCTTAGGATATACTGGAAAATATAATTGGCAACTTTTCCCCAGGAATCCTGTTTTTTTGGGCCCCTTCCTAATCTAATGTGCATACAGATTAATAGTAATAAGGAGTCTGCACACTCACAGACCCCCTCTCCATACTTCACAGAAAAGGTTTTTGGTTTTTTTAATGAATTTAAAATATGGTTATGTCAGGTCAGTGGATCCAACAATGTACAGATCGACCTTACCCAGGGTATCAATGAACATGGAGCTGGTCACACATCGCCAAATACGGCAGAAATTGTATAAATCTGACCATTACCTGATTGGGGGTGAATGGTGGAGCCGCTCTTCTAGGAGGTGTGAATGGAAAAGGTGGGCGCATGCTGCGAGGCACCAGTGGAGATTGCTGAAACCAAACACAATTTTGTTATCTTCCGAGTAAGATCATAGTAACTTCTGAGTAACACATAGAACATCGCAAAGTGACCCTCAAAAATACAGTAAGCTAGGAAGAAGTTCAGGGTTCTCTATTTTACTACACCTGTAGTTTCAATCCTGGTCCTGAACTCCAGGAGACCAGCACTGCACCAGCAATATACCAGTGCTAACCATTCAACTTCCTTGCTGTGGATACACATTTTTAGCTCCTAAATGCCGCAGCAGATACCCAGATAGCAAGGATAACTTGCCACAAACTTGTGGCAGGGTTCAATTGGAATTCTTTCCAACTTGCTGCACACATTCCCTGGCAAGTTGTAGGCTTGCAGAACACTTGCAGCACAAGTTCTAGTTGACACTTTTTGAATTTGTAGCAAATTTGCTTGGCGGGTCTACAGCACGAGTCCTGCAGGTCTTAGCAAGAGCTCTGCAAGTGTACAGCACTTCTGCAAAGCACGTTGATCCGGAGACTTGCAATGCAGACTTGCTGTAATTGTGCAACAAAATTGTGAAGCTTGGCATGTCTGCAATACTTTAGCAAGTCATTTTCAAACTTGCAACTCAATTGCTTGCTATCTGGGTATTTAGTTGGCTGGAAGTGTGATGTTAATCCCTTGGCTTTTTTTCCCCACTAGATCACTACATCAAGTTATTTGTGTAGTTTAGCCCTTGTAGCTGGGCTGTGCCAATGTGAAGGTGGTGAGTATGTCCTAATAAAACCAAGGTTAAGGCCCTGTTGATATGTGCATGTTTCCAGTGGAGTGTTTGACAATGCACTGCTTGCTGCTTCTTTGAAAAAGATTTACAGCAAAACGAGTATGGACATACAATGGTAATGCACGTACAATGCCTCTAAAATGCACAGCACACCAACTACTGAAATCATGCGTACGTGTTCAAATCTTAAAATATATGGAGATTATGGCACGTTGCAATACGACTAGTTCAGAATATTTTACCTGGAAGCGCTGTTGGAATGACCTGGGGGACATTCTGCCCATCTCGCGACCCTTCAGCCTCTGTGCACACATGTACCCGCGTTGCATCGGGGAGCCCAGGAACTCCAGGTTTGCTGGTGGCAAATACGGTGCCTTATCCATCACTCTCAAAATAGCTTTATCCTATGTTATGTGGCACAAAGTCAATATTTTTGTAGATTTAAAATTTAAATAAAACCCATCATTGAGGCTATTTATAAACGTTGTCACAAAAGATTAACACAACTGTACACACATTTTACAAGGAAATTCCATTAGAACAGTGAAATCTTTCTAAATAGACTGCTAAATATTATAAATTGCATCATGCTTGGGAATAAACCATAGGAGGACTGACATACAAAAGGGTCTTACAAGAACACTGCAACTCTGGAAAAATATTAAACCATTGCCCACCAACATGCATCAAGAGAAAATCGGTTATCAGCCCAGTTGGGGGGGGAATTGACAAGGCGTGAAAAGGATTGTTATGTGCCAAAAAGTAGTCTTAGAACAGCAATTTTGACACTAGGGTACATAATTCAGTGGTAGCCCCTGGGGCAATTTGGGCCTCCCCAGAGAACGCATTAGAGAACCGCTATACAAAGCTACAGCGTTTTCCCAAAAATAAGGCACGATCATATATTTTTTTCTGGCTCAAAAAACAAAACACACTAGGCTTTTTTTTTTTAATGTACAACAATTCACACTTATGTATTTATGTACAAAAATATGGTGATCAGGGCAATCAGGTGTGCCGTACCTTTCCAAGAGCAAATTTGCTAACCAACTGCTGGCCAGAAAAAGCAAAGTGCACTTTCACTATAGATTCCTCACAGGCGGAGTGCATTTGGTATCACTCCGCCTGTGATAGGAGCCGGTGCTATAGAGGCATTGGCTTATGCGGCTCTGCTTCCTCCGGTGCCGCCTCCCTTCTCTAGAGCTGGCTTAGTTGGCACCGCTGATTCTCTCCCGCGGCTCTTCTATTTCCCCCTTATGCCACCACTGGCCCTAGGAATGGTCACAACTAGTTCTTATTTTCGGGGTAGGTCTTATATTTTAGCAATTCTCCAAAATAGTACTAGGTCTTAATTTCAGGGTAGGTAGCATTTTCGGGGAAACAGGGTATGTTGTATAAGATCACTCAACTTTGTAAGAAAGAGAAACTCTAGCACAAAAAGTATAGATGAGGAAGGACATACCCCCCGCCATGTCCCCCGTTACACAGACTGAAATCATATGCAAAAAAAAAAAAAAAATGGTAGGTTAAATCCTCAAGTGCTATTTTTTCACAACACCTTTTCCATTATACTGGCTTATACAAATGCAATAATTAATAAGATGGATACAAATATTTAGTGCAGTATAAACACCTTTGGAATTTAAATAGTGCTTATTTATAAAAGGTCTGTATATTAGATCAAAAAGACGTTAAAAAGGAATAGAGCCGAACATAAGGGATTTGGTTCTAAAAGGACAGTCCCTCCAAAAATGGACAGTTGGGAGCTATGGTTATAGACATAAACTTGTACTTGTAACAGGAATACTGAAGGCAAAAGTCAAAATATTGCACTTAAAAGATTTAACACAACACCGTTATCTGGACACATGACATTCTCCTCCAGCTCTCCATAGCAAAATTTCATCTACAGGGCCTGAGGTTTTCCTGTAGTTTTGCCCCATTACACCCTTCTCAATGTGGCCCTTGAGCAAATTCTGGCTCATTAACAGCTCGATGTTTCAATGCAAGTTGTACCTCCAGTATTTGTCCAGCAAATGTCGCTCTTACTTTAGGGGAACATTCCCAAGTACCCGAATCCATTCCGGTCTGGAAGAAAAAAGTAATTATTCCCATGTTACTTATGTATTTCCTTTACAAACATGGAAAAATTAAAACTATATAACATGCTAGTTGTTCCTTTTAGTGTAGCCTGATTGCTGTAGTACTCACCTCATCTCTGTTCCCCTCAGAGATACCCTTCTGCAATTCCGCAATGATTCCCTTCCAGATTGAAGAACATCCAACACCATTCAACCCACTTAATTTGAACCCCTCAAAAAAGCAAAGGGGTAAGTCATGAGGCCACCCTAGGCTCATAGGGGAATGCAGCAGAGATGCCACATAATGACTTTCTAGGTCTACGCAATATTCCACAATATTCAGGACACCACTGGAGGTAGAGGACTTGTGTTTCCATGAGACTAGGCTGAAGACCCATTGGGGATACTTATTAGGGTCGACCTTCAGATTTTATAGGCTTAAAGGAGAACTATGAGTGCTTTTCACTCATGCTCATAGTTCTAGCCGACCTGTGACAATGAAACTGGGACTGGATTCCCCCCCTCCCGATCGTCCAGCGCTGACTGACTGAACGGACGGGGGAGGGGAACTAGTTTGTGTCCTCCCGTTACCCTAAGGAGAACTATGGGGAAAAGCCCTAACCCCATAGGCTTAATCGACATGTTAATTTTGACACCAAAATTTAATTTTAGTCTTTTGATGAAAATGTATTTTTAGTCAGATACATTTTTATTTTGGTTGACGAAATTCAAAACAATTTTAGTCTACGAAAATTAAAGTCGGTTATCATTCAGTTGTTCACATCTCCCCACTACAGGAAGTGCTCAGGGAACCAGAAGCCAAATGCAGAAGTCTGGGAACTAATTTTCGTTTAAACGACTAAATTAGCACTTGACGACACACAAACTTACCAAATCGAAGTCTGTATCAAACTCTGTCCAAGTGGAGCCCATTCCACTGTCAACAACAGCGCTGTCCACACTCTGAAAGACATTAGAAAAAGAAATGTTCCTGGTGCAGTCTAGTAACAAAGGTGATTTAAAGACCAAAAGGAAGCCTCTGTTACATAACCCTTTAAATTATACAGCAATAAAGCAAACAATACTGATATTTTCAGTAATGAAGAAGGAGGGGGGGAAAAAAAAAGTTAGACCACATATTAACCAAAAAATAACTTTTCCCCTTTCTTTAGTCCTGCCTAGAACAGATATAATGTATACAAAATCCACTGTAAGTTACCTTTAAAATTACACTGAATTTACAATTACGGTGACTGTAGGCAGTGGCATTGTAGTACTTACACAAGATTGTTAGGTGACCCTTCTAGCAGTGAATAGATGAGCCTGTGATAAAGACAATTTTTTGGGATCATCACAAATACCAAAAGGAAAGAATGTTACCTCTAGAGCTGGCTGGCCGTGAAAGGCCTTCATCACCGCTGGATCTCCCAGGTCAGATTCATCTATTCTTGTGCTTTCTGTCTGAACCTTCATTTCTAAAGAGAGGTCGGCTTCTTTCTGGGAATCGGTGATGATTTCCACCTCTTGATTGGAGGTTTCAGCATTTATTTCTTCTACCAACTCTGACGGTTTGTTAGAAGGCTCTTCGTCCTCACTAATCAGCTCGGGTTTTTGATCAGACGTTTTGCTTTGGTTCTCCTCTTTAGTGCCTTCATCTTCAGAATCTTCATGATCTTAAAACAAGTTTATCTAGTTAGTTCTGCAAAAACTATTGAAAAAAAAAACAACTTGTTGATTGAACATTGGCTCCAAAAAAGGGAGATACACCGTCTTATAACCCTGAACTAGAAAAGGTCTCAGAAAGCAGGAAGCTTTTTCCAGGTCAGGAAAAGCTTGCCTGCCTTTTTTTTTTTTAGGCCAGTACCTGCTTTGCAAGATCAACCAAAGGTTGGACTTGCAAGGTATACATTTTGGGGGTAGTGCCTTGAAGTCCGCTCTAAATTAGTCATATTAAGCCTGTTGGTTATGTATTTAGAGGAAGCGCTGATATCTTGAGGAATGCTGAATTAAGTTTTTCTTGCTTAGCAGAACATCACATCAGACTACAGCATACAGAGATAACTTCCTGTATAGATCATAGATGAAGAAGCACTAGAAACTAGCATTGCAGTATACTGCCATCTACAGCTCAAAAGATATTACATCTCTGAATGTCCGTAATACAAATCAGTGCAAGCCGTTAATTTCCAACAAAGCCTAGCCTACTTATACTGCTCCACTGGGATTTGGGTGGGGATGTACCAGCAAGAAAGGCTCGAGGTACATTTTTTGAGGGGAATACGTTGTTTCAGGTACAACTACCCGACAGAAAACACAAAATTTGGAACCTGATCACCCTCGCACTTTTTACAGTCCAACCAACTTTTTGTTATTTTTGGTAAAGCCAAGAGGGGTTTGAGCCTCAGGTTTTCTTGCTTGACGGATCTAGAGAGGGGGCGCTGGACACAGCGGCGTCAGAAGGGTGGTGCGGCCGGCACCAGGGTGACTCCAAAATGACTGACAGTCATTTTGGTGTCACCTCCTCTAAAAGTCTGGCACTCGGTCATGGACAGAGAGCCCGAGTATCAGGAGAGAGGAGGGACCCGGCAGCATACCTCATCCCACCGGGTGAACGTCCCCGCCTCTCTCTCTGCTGACGTCCATCACAAAGATGGCCGCCTGCATCAATTAGATGACCGCGCATGCACGATGATGTCCCCCCGTCTCCGCTCCTGGTGACACCCGGCCTCAGGACGCCCCTGGCTGGACACTGGACAAACTGAAATCCATTAACATATAACTGAATCTAGTTTGTGAAAGACTATGAGGGGAATTTATCAAAACTGGAGCAGACAAAATCTGGAGCAGCTGTGAATGGCAACCAATCAGCTTCTCTTTTTAATTTTCAAATCCTAACTGAACAACCTGAAGTGAGAAGCTGATTGGTTGCAATGGGCCACTGCTCCAGATTCTGTCCAAATTCCCCCCCCATTGGATCGGTTTAGGCAGCGTCACTGGGCACTATGGGTAGAGTACTAAGGTGGAGAAAGTAATAGTGCCAAAATCACTGGTCCTGGTAGTCCAAAGTAAAAAAAGGTTAATTCAATAACATGGCATAAAACAGAACAGCCTTTTCTTCCATGTTACCTTGTTTGTGAATGCACACTCACTTTTATTGTGGTCTGTTTACCCAATAGTGATGAAAAAGTAGTAATAGGAACCCTACCAACTTGGTCATAGACAATAACAGTTTTGAGTAGTTTAAGGAAGTGTTAGGGAGAACTTCAGACAAATGTTTTTATTGCTGTCTATATCTTCCTGTCCTGGTGGCATACGATACCACTATTTCTTGCATGGGCATCTCATGGACAGATGGTAAAGTAAACAATAAATAAAGTCAACAGCAATAATCTCAAACCCAATAAAAAAAAGAAAATTGGTTGGAGTTAGGTTTTAAGTTCAGTAACGCATTATAACACTCGGCTTAACATTACTGATCTCCTTTATTCCTGCTGAGGCGCTTACAGGATCTACCCAACGGGGAGGCAAGTTACCAAGGATACCTGTAGGCTTGCAAATACCCATTTTCTGCAAATCCTAGTAGTAGGCCTGTCAAAATACAGATGGGGCAATAAGAATTTTCAGAAGGCAGTTAAAAAATGGCAACTCACATATTTCCGTTATAAAGACTTCCTTTAACATGTAGAATTCTAGATCGTTACTCACTGTTTATAGACAGCTTATCTGTGAAATAACTGGATGATTTGAAGGATTTTTAGGTTTAATTCTTGGCCATTATAAAAAAGGTAGAATTATTATTCTCTTTTATCCACAATCATGAATTAGATGGGAAATCCTACCTAATCCAAATGTCACTTCATTGTATAGATCGATTTCGTCATCCTCTTCTACCATTTCTTCGAGCAACAAACTTTCTTCTGCCAGATAAAAGTCCTCTGGCAGCTATAAAAATACACACAAAAAAAAGAATAGACCAATTAGATTAATTCTTATGCGCTATTGTGAATTATAATTTGGTTATTGTGATACAAACACGTTTTCCCCTTAACATGGTTAGTCACCTGGCTCCCACTACTTTGTAGTGTGCATTTCACCACAAAGTAGGGATGCACAGATACCGGTTTTTCGGTATCAAGTACGAGCACCAATATTTTTTTTTCGATACTTGCCGATAAGAGTACAGATGCCGTGTGCCACAATTATCAGGAAGCCGGGCGGTGGACAATAACCCGTTGCCCAGCTTCCCGATTGAATGTGAAGCTGGTGTTTTAGCGAACCACTGACTGCTTCAATTGTCGAGGCTGTCTGGCTTCCTGACCAATCAAAAATCTGGGTGGCGAGCCAAGAAGCCAGCCTCACTTATTCCCAGGAAGCCTAGCTTCCTGACCAAACAAAATGCCGGGCGGCGAGCCATGAGGTGCCGCCCGGTTTTGCGATTGGCTAAGAAGCCAGCCTCATTTGTTCCCAGGAAGCCTGGCTTCCTGACCAATCGGGAAGCCCCGAGACTGGTCATAACCCACCGCTTGTCTTCCTAATTGGAAAAGTAAGCCAGCTGCATGCTCCCTTGGCACTAAAGATTATATATATTTATTTTTTTTCAATTATGCTGTGTACATGGGAGCACAGTTTAAAGCAACTCTGCCAACAAAAATAAAAAGTCAGCTGTAAAAGATGATCAAAGATTAGTGCAATCCCCTGTTGCGTGCCACCCACTGGCCCCTATATCACTACTGTTAAAAATTGTGAATCTCAAGGGACAACATTGCTAGGAAAAATGATATGTAAAGCTCCATTCTCTGACAACTCTATACTTGACCCTCCATCCTTCCTCTTTCACAGCCGAAACAAAATACCTGGGGTCAGCGGTAAGACATCACTCCCTTCGTAATGTAATTGGCCCAAGCACTGCAAAATGGGAGAAGGCAACTTACTTCCGCAACAGAAGGAGCGGCGGGGAGCAGAGTATAAAATGGTTAGGGATTGAACCTGAGGAGGCAGTTAGGCTGAACTGAAATAAAAAGGACTTTGTGGCTAATTTCTATATTTATGAAAAAAAGGACAGCGAGGATTGCTTCTAAATTACTTTAGGTAAACCAGTCTTGTTTTTATGTATAGTTTATACATAGTTTGTATTCAAGTACATTGGGGAACCCATTTTTGCTGCCTGGTAGTCAAAGAACACATGAACCAAGTTGGGGATAAGGTGATGTTTTTCTCGTTCATGGCAAGAAAGCAGTAATTGTTTATCTTCCTCAAAGTAGGGATGGGATTTGGTAATGTTGATTTTTACTCTAGTCATCTATGCAAGGTGTAGATTTCATTGTAGTACCCCATCATTAAAGTGGAACTGGATTTTTTTTAATTTTATGATTTACTATGGGATACTGACAGCATTGCAGTTCAACCCGTTTTACCGAATAAGCTTGTTTTTCTTCCAGCTGGGATATTGAATGAATTCACAGCGAATTCAAGGAGTGGCTCACCCAGCCCCGCCTCCTTTGATGAAATGACATACTTACTATCTGTTCGGAGTTGAGATTCATTGTTTAGATTTCACCAAAGCTGAAATACCCGAGCCAATCTGTGGATTGAGAACATTTTCAGATAAACTTTATTCTAGAACAGAACAGAGCAGGACATTTAGCAGTCACCCAGTGATACCACTATTTATATAATGGGGGGGAATTCATCAAAACTGGAGCAAACAGAATATGGGGCAGCCAATCTGCTCCACATTTTGTCTGCTCCAGTTTTGATAAATACCCCCCACTGTGTATTGTGAGCATTGTACACACTGCATTTACCACAGGCTTCTACTAGAGAGGCTGATCTTTTAGGGCGCCAGGGCCAAAAACACAGGGCAGGTTTTTTTTACAGCTGTTAAATATATTAAAACACAACCCCCACCCAAAAAAAAAAATAGAATTTTTTTTTTTTAAAGAAAATTTAACACATATATAGGGCTGCAGATAACGATTATTTTCATAATAGATTGATTGTATTAAAAAAACAAACAACTCTCAATATTTGCCAACTATTCTCATAATCAATTATCAATTAAATTGATTAGTTGTTGCGGCCCTACTAATCTACATTACACCAAAACCTTTCTCACAGTGAAAAACACCAAAAACAATAGTCAGTGTGTAAGGCCTGGTTCACACTTAGGCATTTTTTGAGCCGTTAGAAAAGCTTTTAAATGACCAAGACAAGAAATCCCATGATTTTTTTCTGGCCCTTGTTCACACCTGAGCAGAAAAACACCAAACGCCCGCAAAGGAGCTTCTTTGGGCAGTTAAGAGCGTTTTTTGACCATAGACTTCAATGGAAATGCCCTAAGAGGCGCGGTAGAAGCATGTTTTACATTTTTGTGCACGTTTGTCCATTGCCTGCAATGTTTCTTAAGCTTCCAGTCAAAACGTGCATCTGCACGTACAAACGCACATCAAAATGTGCACAATGCGCATAAATGGGCAAATAAATGCGCAAAAAACTGTGCCGCCTAGGTGTGAACACGGCCTTAGAATACAGGATCTACTTAATGTTTAAGGGCAGTAGTTGAATAATTGTGACCCTTAAATATATTTTGATGCCCAAACCTGGTTATTTCTTCCAGAATAAATGCATTAAAATCTTTAGAACGTCTAAAGCCTTGGTTCTCAACTGGTGGGTCGTGACCCAAAAGTGGGTCGCCACCCTATGTTCAGTGGGTCGCCGCATGCCTTCCACTTTTCTAGGCGAGAGGCTCCTCTGCCTTCCCCTAGTGCAGCACTGTCAGTTCTCACGACAAGAAGCCATTCAAAATATGCTGCCCAGCACGGAGTGTCAGCTTTAGGTGCGGTAGGCTGGGGCTATGGCCACGAGGGAGCTCCATCCATACGTGCATTGCTTACAGCTCCCTCACGTGTCCTGTAGAGGTGCCTGGACTGGGGTGATATCACATTCTGGCTCCCGGCACATCTACAAGGTACGCAAGTGAGCTGTACAAGCAATGCACATATGGATAGAGCTCTGCCACAGCACAGCAGCCCACACTGGACCCCAGGCTGAGGAACCACTCCAGTTCTCGTAAGGTAGGGAGACTGGGTGGATCACTTTTTTTGTAGTGCGTGTGTGAGAATGTCTGAGTGTGTGAGATTGTGTCTGTGTATATAAGTCAGTGTTTTTGAGGGCCCATTCAGACTAGTACAGTGCATTAAACTGTACCACGCAATCGCACCTACTTTCTGGTGTGGGAGATGTGCTGCGTTGCCATTCATTTGAATGGTACCCCAAACGCACCTCCCACGCACATTTTTTACGTGCGGTACCGCAATGCCGTGCTTTCCATTTCAGTGCGACTTGGGTCAGGACTTAACGGCCAAAGGACAAATGTTGGTCCTGAGGTTACACAGGTTTAGAACAAATGGTGTAAAGATCTTCCACAGCCTAGACCTTCCATTGTTTGATGCTATTGATTCTATAAAAAAATGAATTCTATATATATGATGCATACCCATTCTATCTATTATTGAAGGACTAACATTATCTTAGTCGATGGATTACAACTTTTGCAGCCGTTAGGCAGTGTCGCAAATAAAAAAACAAACCAAAAACCACAAACTGAGAAAGGGATTCATAGAAATCACAGGAATCTATGTAAAGAATTGCACTGTAATCCTTTTGATTATAAAATTGAAAAATGATTTTTCTAAATACTGAATTTGAGGGATATAGTTAAAAGAGAACTATGAGGCAAGTGTTTTCCCCCATAGTTCTCCTCAGGGTCACGGGAGGACATACTAGCCTCCTCCCGTGACCCAAAGCTCAGTATATCGCGAGCTACAGCTCGCGGTATACTGAGACCGCCGCAGCCTGGACGGATCCCGACATTACTGTTGAGATCCACCCAGCCGCGTGAATGACAGCTGGCCCTGCCTATCTAGAGGCAGAGCCAGCTGTGCCCGCCTCCTCCAGTCAGCGCTGGAGGATCAGAGCGGGGAAGGGGGTGGGGTGGATACCTGCGGGGAGCCGTGACTGACAGTCACTGCTCTCTGCAGGGAGATCGGGAAGTGAGCGAGTGACGGTATGTGTTCGCTCACTTCCCGATCTATTGAGCCGACGTCTGACAGTTTCATTTTCATTCATCTCATAGTTCTCCTTTAACCAAGTTTACACGACATAGCGAAGATAGGTCTGACTTGGTTGGATCAAAGTATATTCTATACTAAGCGAGACAATATTTGATCTTTTTTTTTCTTGAATGTTAGTTGAAATAGAACACTTACAAGTCGATATATTTCAGAGTATTTCTCAGAAAGCAAGAGTAAATGTGCAGCACAACCCCCCCCCCCCCCCCCCAATATGCTCTTAACTTATTTCAATAAACCATAAAGTGTTGTCAAAAAGTTTAAAGGCCCCTTCACACTTTTGCCATTCATTAACCACTTCCCGGCCGGCCATTGTAAAAAAAAACGGCAGGCCAGGAGTCTCTAGATCTGCCACACCCCCTCACACGCGCCGGAAATGCCGATATTTGAAAACAGGCAGCGATGCCCGTTAATATGCCGGCTATAGAGCCGGCGGATCGCTTGTATGAGGTCCTGGGATTTCCGCCCCCTCCCGCTGTTACGCTGGCCCCGGGCTCCGCTGTGCCCGGTGCGAGCCCAGGACCAGCATACTGCCACAGGGGATCAGAAGGAGGTCGGTACACGAGCTCCCTCCGGTCCCCTCTCCGCTGTCAGAATGCGGAACTGATGTGTATTACATCACTTCCGCATTCTTGTGTCACTCTCCAGCTTCAGATGCTGGAGAGAAGCTGATGAAGATCTCTGCTTCTTCAGGGGGTCCCAGGTGACATTAGGGGTCTTGGAGACCCCTGATGTCTCCATAAAGGAGGACCTGTCACATATATTGCTATCACATAAGGGGGTTTTCTTAGCCCCCTATGTGATAGCAATAAAGTGGAAAAAAAAATAGGAAAAAAAAATGTAAGTTTCCCCCCAAAAAATGTAAAGTTACAAATAAAAGAATATTTTTTTTGTAAAGTCCCCCCCCCATGCATACACGCATGCAAACAGGCGTCGGGTGAGCATACATGCAAAAACGACGATTTCGCCCATTACGCCGCACATGTTACATATCGCCGCGAACGTCGGAGTGAGAGCAATAATTCTAGGGTCATCAATCACTGATAACACTAAACTGATGAGCTGTAAAAGCTTTTAAAGCGTCGCCTATGGCCAATTTTGGGTATGGTAGTTTTTTGCGATTCCGCGGGTGCACGCAATTTCAAAGCATGACATGTTTGGTGTCTATTTACCCGACGTGACCCCCGTCTTTTATATTTTACCAAAAATATGGGTAATAATCATTGTTTCCTAATATAATGGTGATTCACAGCAGGCAATGGGTGGGTGCCATAGCCAGCCTGCTATTGGCTGTGGCACCCACCCACTGCCAATTAAATGTAAAGAAAGGGGGAATTGGCATTCACAACGTTACCCAGATATGGCCATATTTTAGTAATCAGCCAGAATCCCAGGCCCCTTTGCTTACATGCAGCTGTCTGCTGGGGAATCTTATCACTGGCAGAGAAATGGGGCCAAGGAAGCATAATTGGTGGTTAGGACTCCAATTGCCCAAAGTCCTAGCAACCAATGTATGGGGAACGGTCAGATTCACGACTGCTTCCAGGGCATGCGCTGAGCACTGGCATGTCTCTGTGCGCTAAATCAGAGTTGGTCTTAATTACAGACAGTTTTCTAATGTGGAAACTGTCCGTAATTCTTTTTACACTTTAAGTGCCTGTTCACACGACGTCCGTTTTCTGTGCTGACCTGATCCGTATGCTCCTGCACTTAAATGCATCCCAATGTATCCCTATATGTTTTATGGGCTTAAGTTCTCACGTGCACAGTCCGTGCATGTCACATTTTGTCCAGTCCGGAAACACACGAACGCGGCAATATATGAGTGAAGGAAAAAAATGTATCCGGGTGACCTCGCAAATCCTCATACAAACTCCAGAACTGACCCTTGGGAGTCCCGGAGCCTTAAGATCGGGTGTACCCAATAACGACGTCTCCTGCGGACTCGTTCTCTGCAGATTGCTGTAGCCAGCACCATCAACATGCCTGCAAACATGGGATACATGTCTGATCACCAGCTTTACATATTCAAAAGGGAAGTAGATGTTCCGAGAGGGCGGAAGTGACCTCAGAGGAAGAATCTGCATACCGACAGCCCCACGGCTATCAAAAACGCACTGCATCAGTAGCCCAGCATCTGCAGATCCGCACCTGATATGTGAACAAGCCCTAAGGCCAACATCTTGATGTGTTGCATGGCGATTGCAGGCTGTCATTTAAGACAACTGTGGCAGTGTGCAATGTGTGCAGCTGTCTGCTGCAATCACTTAAGTGTGCACAAATTTACTCATGCAGCTCTAAAGCTGATGTCAGAGAGACAAACCACCCATTATGGACTACAATCTCACATTTTGTTTTCGATTTTGTATTGAGATTGCAATCCATCACGGGAGTGAGCTTGGAGCGTTGTTTACTCCACAACACACACAGGGACCATGGGGAACAAA